TGCTCAAGTAATTTTTGTAGATTGGTATTTACAATATTTGTTTATGTACATTGAAGATCAACAACCTCTAATGCTTCATCGTGAAAGTTGCCTATGTCATCATGTTCCTGTTTATTTATATGGAGCGAGCTGAATTCGTATGAATTATTTGTATTTCCAGTATCTCATTGTTGTTTGGTTGTTCGTTTGATTTATTTCAATTAATTGAGACTGTTCTTTTAAAATCGATGAACTTCGAATTCATCGGTAACTGCTTGCATAGAGTGCTTCAATTTAAACGTAATGGGTATCGTTTAATCGACACCCGTTTACAAATTAAAGCTAAATTTACCACATTTAAAAGCATCTCGGCCAGCAGAAATATTCTTTATATAAGTCAATCGAAATGTTAAAGCCAAGACACCCGATGTGAAACGTTACTGAAACCTGATTCAAACATTGTACACTGCAGTAAATCATAATTCTGGAATATCATTTGCTGAAGTGAGTTCCTTAGAGCTGTTTTAATGCGACAAGCATTCATGATCATGACTTTGCCCAGCTTCCTTTCCCAACAGTTTATGAATTCTTAACTGTTACTTACTTTAGTATTGACTTAAAGCGAATCATCTCTATCTTGAGGTTAATTTTGATATATTGAATTTGCCATTTTGAAAATAGCTCTATATCTCAATCGTTACTTTTTGCTGCTGTAATTGCTTTTTTCAAATATCACTGCTATGACACTTTAGATTATATACTAAGTTTGAATCCTATAATGGTGAGATCATTCTGCCTGTAGTTGTAATTAACTCTCAATGGCTTCACTTCAAACAACTTTGCTTTGCCCAATTTTTGTTAAAAGTTCTTGTTCATTCTACATCAAAATAATGCATAGGAGCATAATTTGTAACTTCTTCACTCCTATTAGTCTGTTACCTCTGTATGCTGTTTATTTTATTTTAATCTAGTGCTTTTATGATTTTAATTTTTAACTTGGGGACTTGAAAGTTGTCAGGGTATTTTCAATGGATACAAACTTCCTGTCACTAATCTGAGCTACTTTGAAATGCTCTCTTGCCTCTGTTTTTATATCATTGTTAACTCAGGGTCTAGAAATAACTTTTTTTTAACCTGGGCACCAAGTGTCATAAATAATTGGATTCAGCCACCAGTTGAAGCAATGATTTGGTTGCTAAGTCTGAATGATTCCATAAAAATGCTCTCTTTAATTGCAATACAAAAAAGTTTCAAGGACCTCGATGATTTGTTGAAAACGAGTGTTGGAAGTTGATATAATCAATTATGGATTAATTTCTGCATTGCCGAGTGTTGGTTTGCATGAAGAATACTGAGAAAACCTTAAATAGATACCTGCTAGCATAGCTAACATTAACATTTTAGTTGCAAACAGTCAATTTTCAGTAGCATTGACAGCCAGCTCAGATTGCAATTTTGCACCTTGCTTCTATGAGCTATATTTATGCATGTTTTCCTTTGGGATTTTGTTTGTGATATTTTGTCTTTGTATGCATTTTAAAAGTATGTGTATTTGCTTTTAACTTTTGTAAACAAGTCTCTCTGAGAATCACCATGTTGCAAGAAAGTACCTTGTTTAAACATCAATATTCAAAAATAAATTAATATGAACTTTATAAACAGCTGACGCAATAAATATATTTTGTGTTGCCATGTGACTGTTCAGTAATAGATCATAGTTGACATCAAAATGTGTAAAGAACAAAAAAGTGGTGCATGAGGCACAGTAGAGTGTGCCATGGATGTGCTTACCACATTTTGATATAAGAACCAATCAAAGTACATGTATAATTCAGCTTATCATATAAACGGTGATAATTGATCCATACGTGTTTTACTTTGTTGCAGCTGAGTTCCAGAATATTCTGAATTCTGGTTAAGTTCCATTCCAACAGCTGCAGGTGTTCTGATACTTAACTGAGTGAACAGCCACAACTTACAGTGATTTTGGCACAGAACAGTTATTTTACCAACAGCTAGTTAAATTTTTTGCTGTCCACCAGATTAATCACTGCCCAGAAGCTTGTTGTGAATGCAATCCACCACACAATCTACTGGGTCAGTGGTTTATCTGGTGGATGGTATTATTGATTCAATCCAACAACAGCAAGTACCTGAGAGTTTAATTCAACTACTACTACCATCTCACAGGAGAAGCAACTTGAAAAGTGAGTGTTTATCTTGTATGTATAATTGAAATAGAAATAAACTTATGAATAGAAAATGCTCTTATGCTCAAGTAAACCATTTTAATCTCCTGCTGCCTTGATTGAGGTAGCTGTTGTAGCCCTCTTTTGTATTACCAAGATATAAGAAAAGCTAGAAGTAGCCTTACTACAGGTAAATAGAACTTCATTCTTCTATTTCCTAGCAATTTATAGCTGATTTTTCGAAATTTCAAGCCCATTACGCAATGTCAATTTCACACTAAACCTTGCACATACATGCACGGAGAAAAGTTTACTGGTGGGTTTCAAGATAGCTTGAATGTTTTCCAGGCTTGATCTGTTTTTAGTGCTTTTTTTAATCTTTCATAATTAGTCAGTTGGCCTCTGAGCTACAATCTGTTTGCACAGTTTTACTGTCCACTCACAGCTCTCACCTTCCCTTAGCTGAGGCTCCATCTGGTATTTGGTATGATCACTGTCTGCTCCTGAATATATGGGATATACAGTATATAGCTCATCATCTGATTCTTCAACTTGATTGAAAGTCTTGGCAGATTCTTTGACACAGATCCTAGTTAAAATTTTCCCTTGTCATCTTATCTCCTCCATTAGTAACAAAGGCTGTGCAGATTGTTACAAATAATCCTTTTTGTGACACTTGCGACACAAATACTTCTCGTCAATAGGGCATCAACTTGCAACCAATATTCCTGAAGTTAATACTACTTTTTCTAATTATCTTGATCTGCCTTTGCAGAACAGTTTTTATTTTGATCCAATTATACCGCAAGAAATTGAAACAGAAATTAGCTTGTTGCTATACAATAAAGCCCTGGGTCTTATTCTACCCCTGTTAAACTGTTAAAACTTGCCAAATCAGTCATATCCATACCATTAACCAAAATTTTTAACCACTCTGTACTAACTGGGGTTTACCCTGCAAAACTTAAATATGCAAAAGTAATTCCAGTTTATAAGGGTGAAGACGAGACGTTACCTGAAAACTATCGGCCAATTTCTTTGTTATCAATTTATAATCGTTTATTTGAGAAAATTTTATAACGTAGACTGATAAAGTTTATAGATAAGAATGATATTCTTTATGATTTACAATATGGCTTTCGCAATAAACATATAGTACCCAGCACGCGATTCTTGATATTGTGAACACCATACATTCTTATATGGACAATAGAAAGTACTTATGTGGAATTTTTATAGATCTTAAGAAAGCATTTGATACTGTTAACCATGAGATTCTTTTGACAAAACTTGAACACTATGGAATAAGAGGAGTTATAAATTCTTGGTTTAGATCATATCTTTCAGATCGCCGACAGTCTATTGAAATAGACAAATGCATATCTGAAACTGAAACGATCGTATGTGGAGTACCTCTAGGCTCTGTACTTGGACCCTTGTTATTTTTGTTATATATTAATGACATCCATAAATCTTCCAAGGAATTTACTTTTTATCTTTTCGCAGACGATACAAGTCTAACTTATGCAAATGACAACTTACGTACTCTTGAACTAACTGTCAATAATGAACTTGAGAAAGTAAGCGAATGGCTTAATGCTAACAAACTAACGCTCAACGTCAAAAAAAGTCTAATTATGTCATTTTTCGTCCCCACCAAAAAAAAAGAATGCCTTTCATTCCTCAAATTAAGATTTTTAATCCAACTTTAAATACTAGAGTAACTCTAGAGATGAAGGACTTTGTTAAATATTTGGGTATAATGATTGATTCTGAACTATCATGGAAGCATCATATTGACTTTATCTGTCACAAAATTAGTAGATTGGTTGGAATAATTGCTAAAATGAGGCATTACATTCCACGTCGTCTTCTTTTGAATTTATATCATGCACTTATTTCTCCTTATTTAAATTATGGTATCTGTGCATGGGGCAACTGTCCACAGACCTACCTCAATAAGATACTTGTTCTGCAAAAATGTGCTCTGCGTTTGATTTATTTTTCTAAACCCAGAGACCATGCAATCCCTTTTTTTATTGAATCAAACTGCCTTCCTTTGCAGTCTTTGTTCTTTCAACAGTTAAGCTATTTAATGTATGACGTTCATGCTAAGACAGCTCCTAAAAGTCTTCTTGATAAGTTTGCAAAAATCAATACAGAACATCATTATAATACGCGATTATCTGCAAAAGAATGCTTCTCTGTCAAATTCTCTAGAACTGAAAAAATGAAAAAATCTTTTACTAGAATCGGTGTGTCTATTTGGAATTCTATTCCACTTTCTGTTAAAAATCTCAACGTTTCTAATTTTCGTAAAAAAATTAAATCACTACTCCTTAATGTTCTAGGTAATGAAGATAATTATTTGAATGTTAATTTTTTAATAGAATATTTTGTGAAGTTAACTTGATATATTGTATATGCCTCTAGTTGTAATTTTAGTCTTTTTCAAATAACAAAATCCCTTGTACTTGAATTTATATGTAAGGTGTTTCTTTCTGTATGTTTTTGTATTTCTTCTTTTCTTTTTCTTATGTAATTTAATAACGCCTTTAGTTAAAGTCTTGTCCTGCCTAGATTAGCATTGTAGCTATTTGCAGGACATGAAGTTTTGTAAACCTTATGTTTCTTTAAATAAAGAGTATGTATGTACTTGTTACATTTTTTCCATCAGCAAAAAATTGATGTACATGGTGTTGAGGGATTTCCACAGTCTTGGCATTGGACTGGAGGCTAGTTATTATGTCCAGGCTTAAATATGGTGAATTAAATTAAACTCTAGTTTTTATATGTTTCTGTATTGCTTTTATTTTCAGAAGCGGATTGGCAATGTCAGAAACTGCGAGAACTGATGAGAGCAGTTCAAAGAACATTTATGGTGACCCACCAAAGATCAATGTTAGTCTTCCAGAGATAAGTGAACTAACCCAGAATTTTATACGTTGGAAGGATGTTCAACTCCCAATTGACATTCTGTTGTTAACAGTGAAGGACTGTGAGTTCTTGAGCTGCTACTATTACATTAATGATCCATTAAGAAGCTATTGCAAAGGACTTGGTCATGTGTACTTTGGCAGCTTTGGTGAAGATCAAGATGTTAAACTGAAAGTTGCTTTGATGAAATGCTCAGAGAGATTTAAAGTTCCTGGTGGTGCTTTAACTGTTGTAAAAAATGCTGTCACTCAGCTGAGGCCAAAAGCTGTCTTTTCTGTGGGCCACTGTAGTGGTATGAATCAGGAATCAACAAACCTTGGGGATGTGGTTCTGTCAGAAAAGCTCACAACCTTTTCCTATCAGAAGGTTACAAAGGATGGAAAGAACTTTTGTGGGTTCACAACTCCTGTAAGCAGAGACATTACTGAACTCATTGAATGTGCAAGTCATGGTTGGAATCCACCCCTAGAAAATCCTAAAGAGAGGAAAGTTGAAGTCCTCTGTGGTGAGGTTTTGAGTGGTACTGAGGTTGTGCAAGCTGGATGGCGACGAGATGAACTAGTGAAGTCATTTCCTGAAGCAATTGCAATTGAGACAGAAGGAGAGGGTAAGATCTCTTTTTCCTTTGAAGTTACTGTTACTGTAAAATCTGCTCAAAGAGATATTTGGATATATTTGTATCCTGGGAGAGAGAGTTGATACTCATATCGTGTTGGCAAACTTTTCTGCAAGTGTTGAGAGATGCACTGGCTTGTGAGTGAACATACCGGACTTTAGATCAAGAGGTCTGGGTTCAAGCCCAGGGCTAATGTGATTGTGTTCTAGTCTTGGCTGGGACACTTTACTCTCACAGTGTGTCTCCACACCCAGGAGTATAGATGGCAACTGATGAACTGACCAGTATTTCATACACATGTTGAGTGAATAAGAGTAAAGTCTCAGTAGCTGAATGGTATGGGACCTGGGAGAGGCTCATTCTACAGGGACTAGCTCGGCACCTAGTATATTTTAGGTGACTTTCCAAAATATATCTCTAGTTCCTTACAAATCTTTGATGACAATGGTAACAATGGGAGAGGTTGAAATCAGGAGATGTTGGAGAATACTAAAACTTGTTGTTTTATTCATAATAGCTTGTTATTGTATGTCTTAGGAGTTTTCAGTGCAGCACATGAACTGAAAATGGAGTGGGTTGTCATCAAGGGTATTTCAGGATATGCAGATGGAACTGAAACAAAAGAAACCTGGCAAACATTTGCAAGTGTAACAGCAGCTTCACTTGTTGTCAGCATTCTAAAGGAATGCAGTATTTTTGAAGATTGGCCACATTACAAAGGTAAACAGATCAACTTTGGTCTTTTTTAGGCCTACAGTATATTTGCTAACAGTCACTAGCTGTGCTCACAGTCACTAAATGTGCTGGAACTGAATTACCAAAACTGAATTAAAACCATGATTAATGACCTATGATCATGCACTGACCAATCAGAACAGCTCTTCACTCAGAATTGTTACATGTTTGTCAGCAATTTCACAGGCTCTGCTTTTGTGTGTTGCACTGGGCTAACAAAATGTGAGAAATTAAAGATAATGATGTTGACCTGAACTTAACATACAGGAGCTCTAATTTTCTTTCTACAAAGATGGATGGTGGGATGCTTTCAAACTTTTTGGGAAGAAGACTTCCAACCTCACCCCACTATATAATACACCCAGAAACTCCTGCTTTAGCCCAACCCCTCCCCTACCAGCACAACCCTTATTTTATAAACCACAGGTAACCCAGGTTCCTCCAATCGGTCCAAAGAAGGGCTAATGCTCGAAACATCAGCTTTAGAAACTCTTTACGGTGGCCATTTACATTATCAACTTAGTTAATAAAACCAAATTATCATTGCTAACCGAACAACAGTAACTGTTAACTCTTGCAGATAGGAAATTACTTGAGCCATCATCGTTGTCTACAAATTCCCAGTATGTCTATTGAGACTTATAGGTGCCAGTCTTTTTCAACCCAATTATTGCATGGTGCCTCTCCTAAGAACTGCGGTTAAATGCTGAATTTTTATGCAGAGGAAGGAAGGATCACAGACATCTTAAATTCCTCACGTAGATTTGCATTTTTAGAAATCTTACACCCACATTCGTTTGAGTTATGTCCTAACCTTTGCAAGCAAGGTTAGGACGCAGTATTCGAATTATGTTGGTTTGAACTACATAAAGCCGCATGTCTGTTTCAAACCTCATATAAGGCTGTCTAACTGCTGTCTGTTTGGTTTTGTGTTCTTGAAGATATTTCAACTGACAGACAACATTCAGCACTGAGTAAAGAAGTTCCGTTAGAGCCATGCTGCTCTAGTGCCCAGTCTTCCCAACAGCAACATGTTTCGTCTACCAAAACAGCAGGTATGTATTTGAATGAACAGATGCAGTGAGAAACTGTTTCTTTTATTCTTATTGCTGTGAAACTCACCATAGAGTTCTCTCTTGCTTAGTAGGAGAGCTTCAGAGCGCAGAATCCGAGGGTCTGGGGCTCGATGCTGCATATTGACTCATGACATCTTCCTTTAGACTTAACTAATTAGCGTTGCTGTTTGCGGTTTAGCTTTCTCTCTTCTGTTGATTAGCTATTTTTCTTGAAACTTTATGGCATATATTCCATAGAAATCTCTTGTGTTCACGGTTTTCTTAGTCTTACAGAAATACATTTTTGCGGCTAGATTTCTTTGACATGCAAATAATTACCTGCCATTATTTAATTAGTAATGGACCTGATTAAATGCCCGCCTCGCTGTCTCTCGTTTTAAATTACTTTCCTTATGTTTGTAAGTTGGAAAAAGGAAGTCATCAAGCGGGTTACTGGACCAGGGCATAAAGCGCTCAAAGCTTGAAGGTATTAGTCACTGGGGACTTCAGTTTTTAACTTCTTCAGAATCTGCATTCTGATTTAGACTTTCGGACTGGAGGATTTTAAGTGTTACATGGTTACAACAAGATTTGAGATTTTCCTTAATAATAATTGCACTTGTCACAGAACAAATCAATATATTTTTAAGATTTTTGTGTAGCGGAACAAACGATAGCCTCGATTACCAGCTGCTGTTGATGAAATGAGCCCGCGCTTCTCTCCTTGACGGATCGGAGACTGCACTTGAGAATTAGGTGCAAATCGAACCTAGCGACGAAGATTTAGAGTGGCCTTACCCAAGCTCTTATTGTATGGAGTTTTTTTTATAGCCTTTCGCAAACTAGAGATATAAATGATAGGTCACCAAATCCGTTTGAAGTGGCGAGGACATTTTTTCTTCCTGGCAGAAAAAAGAGAACAAGAAATCTTCTGGTCGCGTATATGGGCGTGTAAATTTCGTGTAAAATGATGCACGGTAGGATGCATAATGCAATGGCACGAAGTGGCCTGGAAACCAAATTCCTCAGGAGACGTTTCACGAGGAAAGGAAATAGCCCCATTGCTACAATGAATCTGTTGGCTCGAAAAATCTGGTCTAATTTTTTTTTTCTTTTTAAATATACGTGGATTCAGCAAAATGGCATGAATAGATGCAATACATACTACTCGCTATCCTCTCATCTTGATGCTTTGCTGTGATGTCTTTATTTTTGTTGTCCAGCAAGGAGTTCCTAGTGACGAAGATTTAGAGTAGCTTTACGCAAGCTGCTTATTGTATGGAAAAGAGTTTTTAAGAGCTTTTCGCTCGATCGCAAAATAGAGATATAAATGGTAGGTCACCAAATCCGTTTAAGTGGCGATGACAATTTTTCTTACTGGCTGGAAAAAAAAGGAAAAAAAAAGAACAAGAAATCTTCTGGTCGCGTATGTGGGCGTGTATATTTTTGTGTTAAATGTTGGAAAGTAGGGTTGCATAATGAAGTTGCATGAATTGGGCTTGAAACAAATTCATTAGGAGACGTTTTATTAGGAAAGGAAAAAGCTCCATTGTCACAATAAATCTGTTGGCTCAAATATTATGTTCTGGTCTAATTATCTTTTTACATTTGTTACCATGCAGATGGTTCTACTAGACATTTGCCTCCGCCCAAGGTGAAATGCCGTTATGAAGAGTCGTCTCCGAGTGGCGCCTTGACTCCAAAGAAAATAGGTAAAATGAGGAAATGTCTATGGGCGTGCCTGTTAACCCCCACCCTCCAACCCCATCATCCTTCCCCCGCTTTTGTAAAATAAAAATGCGTGGATCCAGCAAAATGGCATGAATAGATGCAATATGTACTACACGCTATCCTCTCATCTTGATGCTTTGCTGTGATATCTTAATGTTTGTTGTCAAGCAAGGAGTTCCCAGCGACGAAGATTTAGAGAGACTTTCGCAGAAACTCGAAGACAGTCGGGCGTCATCTCGAAATTGTGGAAGCAAGATTAACGGCGTTTAACAATGAAAATATAGAATGGTCTGAAAAAATCTTCAAAAGGTTATTACATTAGCAAAATAGGGAGGGCTCAGCTGCAACATACTCATAAGACACCTAGAATCTCCCGCCTTACCCCTCCCCTCCTTTTAGCCCAACCCCCATTTTATAAACCACACATAACCCAATCGGTCCAACGAGGGGCTAATGTTCGAATTTAAGCTTTAGAAACTCATAGTTACTACAATATTTGAGGTTTTCCCTAATGTTTGTCTTAATAATAATTTCACTTGTCACAGAAAAAATCATGTTCGTGAAATGAGCCCACGCTTCTCTCCTTCACGGGAGGATCGAAGACTGTACTCATGAATTAGGGGCAAATCAAACCCCCAACCTCCGCCTTCTCCCCCCCCCAAAAAAAAAAAAAAAAACACCGTAGTGATCAGATAGTGAAAATGTGAATATTTACTTTTGGAATTATGGAGTGACGTTGTCAAAGTTACAAATTACAGATAGAAAGAAATATTCTCCTTATTGTTTAAAAACCCTTCTCGAGTAATTTTCTTTTCGATGTGGGAGAAAGAGAATTTTTACCAAGCTACTTGTTTTTTGTCTACAGACTCATCTGTAACAGAATTTTGGGAATGGTGCCGGAATCAGTTGATGGCGTTTTACAACACCATGTGTCAAGTGAAAATAACACCATGGGACCCAGACAACACGGTACACATTGATAGAATTTACATACAAGTAACGTTTTTACAAGACCACAGGAAACCTGACGGGACAACGAAAAAAAAGCTGGGAGACAGCAGTGAAGTATTTGAAGGTGACGAAGATCATCCCATCCGTAGACGAATTCTGGTGTATGGAAGACCTGGAATAGGAAAGTCTACTTTCACTCAAAAAGTAGCTGTGGATTGGACAAATGGCAGAAAGAAGATCCTCGAAAAGTTCAATCTTTTACTGTTAATCAGGTTACGAGACGTTTGTGGTATTTCGGACCTCTGTACCATGTTAAAAACAGCGGAACTGTTGTCTGCTGATAACCCGATGGCAGTCAATAACTTGTGTGAATATGTACGTCAGAACCAGGAGAAAGTGCTGCTCATTTTGGATGGATATGATGAATACAGCGGTGGAAAATCATCCCTAATTCATCAGATTTGGAGAGGCAGTCAACTGAGAGACTGTTGTGTAATGATCACAACGCGGCCAGTGAAAGAGGATGAGCTCAGAGTGCCAAGTCACGCTCAGTTTGAACTTAACGGGTTCGATAGCTGGGAACAGAAGAAACAGTTTGCAAATAAGATTCTTCCTGATGAGGAAGATGTTGAAGGGCTACTTGAATACCTAGGAAAGCATGACCTTGAGGAGATGGCAGAGATTCCGCTATTGTTGTTGATGTTGTGTCTTCTGTGGAAGAAGAAGAAACCTCAATTACCAACATCTCGTGCGGAAGTTTACGTAGAATTTATTCAGACTCTCTTGGATCATATGGCTATTAAAGACTCAGACAACGTCGCAACAGACAAAAGCATAGATGAATATCAAGAGGAACTTTCCAAAATAGGAAAACTTGCTTTTGATGCTCTTTTGGAGGACTGCCTTCATTTTAACTTCAGTAAATTTCCTAAAGGTGATCTGTTCGAGAAGCTTATTCATGTCGGTTTTTTTCAAGTTTCCAAACTTTCCGCTTTGAACCGTGAGAAAATCGTGTATTTTCTTCACAAGTCCGTTCAGGAGTTTCTCGCCGCCCGGTTCATCGTTCAAGAAGTGAAGGTCAAGAAGAATGAAACTGTCACCTGCCTGTCAAGAATGGATACGTTTGAAAAATCATTGAAGATGGTTGAAGTTCTGAAATTCGTTTGTGAGTTGTCATCAGATGCTGCCGGCTTTGTTTTTGATCATCTACGTTATGTCGGAGAGAAAGAAGGTCTCACAAATTACAACTTCACCAGGACGCCTTCATTCAAAGATTTTTCTCTAGCACAAAATGAGTTCATTGAACTCTGTGTCGATTGTTTGTTCTGTTGTCCAGCGTCAGACAGACTAGCTGTGTATTCTGCATTTCTCTCATGTGTTAACTATGTTGTAATGCTTAATTGGAAACACTTGTCTATTGCTGCCAAAACGCACTTCTTCAAAGACACCACCAGCTTCCCCAACTATGTATTTTACCCAAGTTGGAAGAACTTTGATGATTTACTACCCACATTGTCTGACTTGAACGCGGTCGTTTTAACGTGCTCTGGAGAAATTAAAGATTTTAAAAAATACCCCGGTTTACGCAATGCGGACTTTTTCCTCGAAAAAAGCGGAAATAGAAACTTTATCTGTCTTTGTCGCATAACAGATGCTGAATTTCACTCTAAACTGCTTTCGGAATTGATATCAACGCCGGTTTGTTCTTCTCAGCCACCTGTGGATAATCTGGGAAAGAATGAAGACAACAACATTGCGCTGTCTTTGACTGAGAACAGATCTGACCAGACACAACAACATTGTTTGTCACTGGTGAGAGAGGTTGAGTTACATTACCCAGCAGTTGAGGATTTTGTTCTGTTAAAGAACTTGTTGCCTTTATTAACAGCTCCTCGATATATTGATATATGGGGGGGCATGATAAATGCCTTGGAAATTAATTCGATTGAGAGCGTTCACGGAATTAATTTTACTGACAATCTCCACAGTTTAAGATTTTGTGGTATCAATCTAACAGAAAAGTGTGCTGCTTTTATTGCTGAGTCACTGCACCACTCTCCAAACTTGCATGAGCTCATATTTTCATCGAACCCCTTACACAGTGGTGTGAGTCATTTGGTTGAGAATCTTCATCACGTGCCACAGTTGACTGTGTTAGAGTTAAGTCGTGTACAAATGGGAGAAAAGGAATGTGCTGCACTGGCTGCCTCATTACAGTACTTAAACAAGTTAGAAAAACTGAATTTATACCACAATGCACTGGGTCACGGGATTATTGAACTGGCCAAGAACCTGAACAGTGTACCCAATCTGACTGGCCTGGACCTGTTGGATACAAATATGGGTGAAGATGAAGCATCAGCACTGGCTCATGCACTAAAGGATGTACCAGAGCTGAGCGATCTTGATATGGCTTGCAATGCACTGGGTCACGGGATCATTGAACTGGCCAAGAACCTGAACAGTGTACCCAATCTGAATCAGCTGAACCTGTCGCATACAAATATGGGTGAAAATGAAGTATCAGCAATGGCTCGTGCACTTAAGGATGTACCAAAGCTGAGGCATCTTGATCTAGGGCAGAATCCACTTGGCAGTGGAGTCAGGGACCTAGTTCAGCATCTCAGCAGTGTTCCTAAGCTGAAGTACCTGTCTCTTGTTCCTGTTCAGATGACAAAGACAGAGATTGAAGAGTTGTGTACAGCAGTAAAAGGGAGAGGCATCACTTTGCTCACTGATTACCATGTAAGAGTCCTTTTGTTGTTTCACTCAGTTGTATCTAATCTTTAGTTAGACGTTCCTCAGAATAGCATTAGATATTGTTTCCAGCAAGTTGCTTTTGATAAAATTTATCAGAGTAGTCTGCATGGGAAAGAATGTAGACATCAGGAACAGTGACTGTTTTCGAAATTTTCTATTTCTATTTTGTGACATCAGGAGCCATTGCTGGGGATGGCGAAGACCGTAAACAGCCCATGTTAAGTACTTTAATGGTTCATGTAATGCTTCTTTGACTATGGTTTCCAGAAAAATTTGTTGAAGATTAAATTAAGACATAAACAAATTTAGCTTTCAAAACTTTGATATTATTTACAGACAGTAGTTTCCAGTGTAGTGGATGCTTGATTACTGAAACCTAATTGAAAACTTTGGGAGTTTGATTCATTCGAGTTCATTCGATTGGCCTTTGAGTTTTAGCGAAATCTTGTTAGAGAAAATTCTGTAGCTATGCTTCACATAAGAGAGAGAAAAAAGATGAATTGTGAGAATTTTTCTCGGACCAAACTTCTTTGCGCAATGGTAATTTTTGAATTTTTTAGGCTTGTGTTGTTATTATGGGATGCTTTTATTTGGGTTTGATTATGTGACCTGAAATTACTTTGAACCCATACATGCTTTGGATTTGATGACGTTGATCCCTACAATCTGTACCAGCATCTATTCGCTTTTATTAACAGGAAGCGTTAACCCAACAAAATAGAAAGAACCAAACAAAAAAGGTTTTTTCTTGTGTTAAATCCAAATGTGTGTTTTGAAAAGCGAAAATCATGTTGATTCTATTGTCATAAATTTACGTTTTAAAGGTTTGTACTGATGATAGGAAATAATTTACCAAAAGTTGTAGGTGAAATGATTAACATCCAAAAAGAAACTGACACGGTGCTATAATTTACTTGCACTTAAATGGTTTCATTATTCCTATTTATCAGTTGGATTCTTTTTGTCTTTAGCTGCACTGCTCATGTTGAGTAACTCCGTCAGATGCTCGTAGGGCCCTCGGTCGCCTTTGTCATAGAAGCCTATTTTTTTTTTCTTTTAAGAAAAATTAAAGAAAAACATTGTAAATAGCGAATTTGTGAAAATGACTATTTCAAACCTTACACTCTAAAACCTTTTTGGTGTGTTAAACGAAAATATAACATAGAGTAAAGAGCAAAGTACTCCGGGGTTGGTAATAAGGCAAAAAGAGATAATAGCGAGAAGGAATTGGAAAAGAAGACAGGCGGGCACAAAATTCAATGGATAAATATATATATATATATATATATATATATAGATATATTTTTTTTTTGGAGGGGGAGGGGGGTGGGGAAATGAGGAAAAAAATCAAGAAAGTGTTTCACATCGGTCACCTCTGATAAGCGCTTCGGCTCGATGTTCCCATTCTGTATCCAAAATAAGACCAATATTACCACGTCCTAAACAAAATAAAGCGCTTGCACTAGTCGTGAGAAGAAGCCTTTTGGAGGCGAAGTTTCCATTAACATCTCTTTCAGCTGAAAGATCTAGGAAAGACGTTATGTTATGGAACCTGTGAAATTAGCGCTTGAAGAATGAAGCATTACTGTGCGTCAGGCGTAAGCGCCCTGCTAGAAAACAAACGAAAAATCAAAAGAAATCATTTTAAAAGCTTAAACTTCATAGTCGCGACCCGTGACACGCGGCTACTAGTCAAACTCGGCACTGCGCTATAATTTACTCGCTTTAAAATGGTTTCCTTATTCTTATTTATCAGTTGGATTCTTTTTTAAGTGTCTCGTATATGATTCAAACAGTTTTGTCAGAAAAGTATGGTTACATTGAGAGGAAAGTTCTTTACTTTTTGGAAAGTCAAGGAAAACATTACATTGAGGACTCCGGGTCATCAAAAAGAAATATTTAGGGTTGTCTGTTTTTCAATCGTGCAACAATTATGTTGGTGGAGAGGTGAACTGGAGTAAAACCTGTTGCGTGTAGTCGTGCAAGGTTGGAAATTTGTTAAATCGTTGATTTACTCTCGGGCAGACAATAACTTAGCTAATACTTTGTGTGTGGAAAATAAAATAATTTCGAAGATATTAGACAGTTTTCCTCCCTCTAAAAAAGTTAGTATTTATTGTAATTTATGTGTTTGTTTGTAAACCTTCACCTCATCTTAATCGTTAGGGAGCATTGTTTTTGTTATTTGTAACTGAGATCGTTTTCCTTGTTGTAAAATAGTCTTAGTCACTTGTAGCTATTTGAATTCAAAAGTGAATGTCCTCTTTCACTGCTCACTATATGGACAAATATCTTTGATTGCGAGAAATATTTATCTTGTGTGTTAAAATGTAAGTTGAGTGTTACGTAGAAATTAATGAAACAGGTGTATTTTGCCATAGCGAAGGAAACGTAATATTCCGATATAAGTGGGGAGAATCAAGATCCTTTTGATATTTATTTGGTGTGACAATGCTAGATGAAAGTTTCACATAATTGGTGCTGTGGTTGATGTTGTGTCCTTTTTTTTGTCCTGTGATAGGTAAGTGATCTGGTAGGTGGAAAGTGGATCAGTCGATTTCTTACAGAAGCTGAGCTGAAAGAAAGAAGAATAAAGTTCAGAAAAGAGCCAGATGATGATGATGATGACGGTGACGATTACAGAAGAAAGGACATGTTTTGTGTTCATACAGTTGTACCAGCGAACACTGAAAAGTGAACATCCTACGTAATGGATGGTGAACTGTTCGTAAACACTTTACCCGCGCGTTGCAAAAGTAATTGAAGAAAGATAAACACAATAGCTTCTATTTGGCGCAAAAATATTCGCGTATATTTGTCCTTAAACATTATCTGTTGCTCTAAGCTCTCACTTTTCCTCGAGCTTCACTCAGAAACTTTTCGCATCTCGGAACAGATAATGTCCAAACAGCAAAAAAAACAAAAACCATCGTGCATATATTTGCGCCAAATAGAAACTATTGTTTATTTACAATTTCGGAAATTGCTGGACGTGTTTCCCGTCTCTTACGGCGTTATATCTTTATGTCAGCATAAAGTATAGGAGTGGCTTCCAGTTCGAATTGGAAATTTAGATAATTTGCCGACGGTATTTCCCTTCTCAGATCACGAAAATTTTAGTGATTTCACGTTGTTATTTTGCAGTGGACGGCTGAGAGATGAACAGAGTTGTAAAACGCACGCGCTGAGCTACTGTTCTGCCCATTATTCAGATCTTTTGTTTTGCCACATCCTCGTTGCCGTTGTCGTGGTTTGCTGAAGTTCTCTAATTTCTCGTCCCGCATGAAACGTCTTATATTGTAACCGGTAATGCAAGTTCTTTTCAGCAATAAAATACCGAGTTGTTTCTCAGTTTTTTTGCCGATCAGAACGCTAAATGAATTTCTTAGGATGTCAGAGTGAAATAGTTTAGCATAGATCCCAAAAGTGACTTTTTGACGCGAAGAAAGAAAGGCCCCTCTATTTGTATGTGCCAGTCTCTCCTTTTATGGAGAAGGCCAAAAAAGGGGTGAGGTGAGACATTGGAGGTCTCGGGAAGAGTGAGAGGAGCTTCCTCTCCTTCCCAAACCACAATTTTCACTCTTCCAATAATTCGATCTTTTCCAGCAACTGAGACCCTGGCAGAAGACAAACTCAATTTTTTCAAGTTAATTAATTCAAATTACTCAACTCAACTAATTCAAACTTATTAATTCAATTAATACTATTGATTCTAATTAGCTGACAAGCTCATTTTCTCCTTACAAACAAAGCCGACTTTGAGAAAAGGAACAGATGAATGATTCCTTGAGCTTGGATCAGTTCACAGGCAGCGTTGTGCTTTCAAGTAGGCTTATTTTTTGATGCTTTACATTGATGAAGCTTGAAACTGGAGATGTATGGAAAATCTTTCATGATCCGAAAAGTTTAAGTCGATATTTGGTGTTACAAGCTTAAATGCTTGTTTGTCTCACTTGTCATTGTAAATAGCAATTTAGTACGTCAATTTTTACCCAACGTTGTCACTTTTTTTACCCTCACTTTTATTGATTTATTAAAAGGATTTTATGAAATATCTTTGCCTCTTTGTAATTCAAGTACAGATGGCATAAGTGCTTGAAAAAGACCCTGTATACGACCTCTATCTTTGTTGCCTGGATCCCAAAGCACAGTCATTGAAATAGTTCTTTTACGGCTGAACGCACCGCGCACAGAATGATATTTTTGCGCAGAGTTTGTATTTAAGAGACTAGTATGTAGTCTTTAGTTCGATATAGGCAGCCCCTGGATGAGAGGAAAAACTGGTAAGTTTTCATGGTTTTGATTTGCTTTTTTTTCTTGATAATTTATCACAGAATCTGTCGGCCTGACTTGTGTAGCAATAGCGTCTTTCGTGTCCCACCGACCGACCGTTTTTATTATTGTTTTTGATTTTTTGTTTGCATGTTTGTTTGTATTTTTTTTCTATAACCACTTGTTTATTTCCAAGCCCGTCCTTCCTTAAGTTGTTCTACGCTGTGTCACTCGATCAGCAGGCATTAAAAGCTTGGCATTTAAGCATCCTCTCCTTTTTGCAGCTGTGATTTAATTCTATCAAGTGTTAAACCGGACGACGAGAAAAACTCAAAAAGCGGAAAAGGCCGAAATCATTGCAAGCAGTCTCCTTTTTCGTCGTTTGCCCCCTTCCTCCCCCACTTCTCTTCCGCTAGAGCACTCTAAAACAAGCTTGATATCCCAACCTTTATCATATTTCTCGTACTCAGAGCTTACGATGGTTAGGTTTCAGGCTTTACTCCTCGAAAAGGGGATTTTGTTTGCGCCAGCTATTAAATAATCAGAAGAGCAGATTAGCTTCCTTTTTTCAAATTATTTTATTTTAGATCATATTCAAGTTGTTTTGCAGCCCAATTGGTATCACGGACAACACACAATTTTCACTTCATATATAAAATCAACATCATATCCATTGGCGGGAAACGTGTTACATAACTTTAAGGTTGTTAACTCGTTGCAAATTATAATTAACTGGAAGCTGATATAATGCCACTACTTAAAAATTGAACCAGTGTTCATGATAAGGGATAACTTTAGAAGCTTTACATAACGCTACACTTTGATAAGGTACTAGCGACCCCGCCCAAGACTGGTATCATTTGCAGCGCTCTATCAAAGAATCCCGGCTTTTGAACTTGCCGTTGTCGGCTCTGATTAAGTAGCAGCTGTTGTCTCAAGCTCTCCACTATCTTCTCCATGCCTTCATTTGATTTTTGCATTTGTGCAAGTCGTTGGCTGAGTACCTGGTTTTCTTGCATGAAATTTCGTCTATGTTTTTCAACTTCCATCATTCTCGCCTTTACCATGTTCTCCATTTGTTGTCGTTGGACCGCGGCTTCAGCTTCCATCTGTTCACGGAGTCTCTTTTTTTCTTGCTCCTGTTTTGCCTGCAGCATTTCCATCTAATTACCAGACAGGAAAAAGTTCAGGTCAGACAGCTATAAGAGAGTCATGATGAAAAATATTATGGCATCTACTCTTGTTCACCTCGGGGCTAAAATCATCAAATTTCTCAGTCACTCAGAATGAATTTCTGGTAAAAATACTGAAAAATCTTTCACAGAAAACACCTAGTGGGATATATTCTTGCTAGAGTTATTCACTCTAAATATATATTTTGAGGCATTTGAAGATAAAGTTATTATGAGGTAATATTCTTTTAACAAAGAAATTAAGGAATAATCAATCTAAGTTGACACATCATAAAATTACATTGGAATGGAACCAAGAGAAAATAAGCAGACAGAGAGGGCGGCCCCTGCACCAGGACTCGTTCAGACAAGATGTCAGCCTTTTGTTTGTTTTTTATGTTACTCAAAAAACCTAGTTCCCTGGAATGAGTGTGCGCTTCCGTCTGAGAAGGCAAAACTCACAAAAAGCAGCCAATGGTCCTCTTTGTTCTTTTATTCTCTTTTTGTGATCTGCACAAATGGAAATCGTCAAATGATAGATTTGACGATTTTTGAAGCGTGGAGTGATTTCTTTAGTGGTTGTGAAAATGTCGGATCAATATCAGAATCTGTCTGATCAACTGCACACCTACCCCTCCCCTGACCCAACATTAACCCTAACTTGTTATTTTTTGATTGTTGTTGAGTTGGGGGGGAGGGGGGGTAGGTTTAGAATTTCTCAGATACTGACATTGACTTAAAATGTCTTACTTCCTTATGGCGCTGACGATTTTCTTGTTGTAAACGTTCGTGTTCCTCCTTAAATGAGAACGAAAAGTCATATCAGTATAGGCTTTGTTTAGCAGATGATGAAATTCTATATCCTCGCCATTAAAACTAAATTAATATAGCAATGTTTTTGACAAAGAACAGAGAAAGAAAGCATGAACTTCAATCGGCTTTTGTTCTCTTATTAATCAGTTGATTAAGTTTGTTGAAGATAGGATGTTATTTTCCGTTCCTTTTCTTTAGCCGCAGAACGTTAACAAAAACAATTCCTATTCCATTTTCCATTCCCAATTTTCCTTTCTTCTTCCCTCTTCCCATTTCCCTTTTCCCTATTCTTCATTTCCTATTCTCCGTTCCTAGCATTTATCATTCTCAATTTTTTTTCCCGTTAAAAAGTAATATGATTATTAAGTCGATTAAAATTGCATCATGAGTACCTCAAGTTTTATCTTCTCTTGCTCTTGATAGGCTTTGGCGGCAATTTCTCGACTCAAGTTCTCGTCAAAGTCCTTTAATTGTTTCAGCACGCCCAAGTATTGTTGCATTTCTGTCATAAGTTCCTGTGATAAAAGTAGAACTTTCGCTTACATCGTTGCTTTGTCTGTTGGTTTTCTTTGTGGTAACTACCAAGAGATTATAAAGTTATATTCTCTTGTAACAACATAATAGTTACTAAGACCAAGAATCGCAATGTACTTGTTTTAAAGGAACTGAATTTGGTTTGTATTTATTCGCTGTCCGTGAAACTATTAACGTCAATGAAAACAAAAAGGAAGACAGATGAGAAACCTCATTAATTTGTCTCATTTCTGGTCTGAATTTTTAATTCCAAGTAAAAAACCCTATTTACCGGATGAAACTCGAAGAACACAGCAGCACAAACTTGTTTAGCTCCGGTGGCACGAGCTTTGTAGTCCTGCTCAATCTTTTTGTAACCTGCTACAATGTCATCGAACATGACTTTGGCGCCTTCCTTTCCATGGAGCTGGTCGAGGATTGGATCCAAGTGTTGCTTTTTGAGTTGCTTCAGGAGAGCGTCACAAGCCTCTCGCGTAAACTGATCATTCTCAGTCTGCCACGTGACATAATCTCGGTCAGCAAACGACTGAGAAATAAAAATAAAAAATAAAAAAAAGCCGTTTTATATTTACAGTAAATACCAGTGTTCATCTTTGCGTGCTGTTGTTTGTTCCCAAACTTTAACTGGACATTTATTTGTTGTTTCTGTGAGTAACTTGTGCCAAAATAATTGAAATTTACGAACATTCTCCCCCAGTAAGTCCAACAATGAATGTTGGGAAGCACCGTAACTATTATTTCGTGGCATTCATGGTTGTATAACCAGACAGTTACTAAATATTTATCGCTTATAAATTAGAGTTAGGTCAATTAGATGCCGCCATGAAATTGACAAGCAGTAGCCTCCACCTGGCGCGGAAACGTTCACGAAAAATAGTCATCAGAAAATGTGTAACGACAAGCGTCGGGAAAGCTTGAGGAAAGTCTTGAGCCTCGTGGAAAAAGAACCAAGGATATTTCATTGCTTTGGAAATGCTTCTGCACAACCTATTATTTTCACCGCACTCGATTTCGGACCAGGTACTCTGCTGCTTTTAAATATTTCACCAAGATCCGAAACCTTGAGTCAAATCATAAAGAGTTTGTCCTGTTAGAATTCTACCACAAATCGAAAATTTTATTCATCCCCACAAAAATGTTGGACGAAGTTTGCAAAAGTTCGTCGGTATCATTTTACTCCAAAGTACTGAATGAGGAATGTTTAAGCAATGTGTGAAAACTCCTTACCACTAGCTCGTTGAGGTACCTCTCGGTTGTAATAGAGGATATTCCGATTGTTTCAGCTTGTAACTGACCAATTGCTTGGTCAAGAGCAGTTTCATGACATTTACGAATGTCTTCGGAGTCACAAGGCAGCTGATTGGACAGTTGTGAATGCACGACGGCGCTGTAGACATTCATGGCTTCGTGCGTTGCTTCAGAACATTTATCTGTTACAAATGTGTCCCAAGCTGACTGGACATTAGGAATCACTCCAGGAGTATTGATGGCCTGCACGTAAAGTTCAACCAAGGCAGCCAAACCTGGAAACAGAGTGGGTTATCGAGGGATGAAAATTGTCTTTAAGTTTAAGGACATACTTAATTAGAAAAGTATACAGTAGACAAACGGTGTAAAAAATAATCTAATATAGAAAAGCATGGCATAAGATTGTGACTCCCATAATTCAAGAAGTAGGCGGCGACTTAAGATTCTAGAGATAAAGCTAATCCCTCGAAATTTGTCTTCAAAACCAGTAATTTTCATCTGAAAATTACATAGAAATCTGAGAGAAGTTACGAGTTGCTCTCTCACGAGAGATGAAAGCCAAACGAAGATGCAATAGTAGCCTTTACCTTCACCAGTCACAAGTTCTCCGTCGTTGAAGCTGTGCTTAGGAGTAAGAGTTCTTTTCAACAAGACCTTGAACTTCTCTATCCCAGAGAAGAACTCACTGTTGATCTGACTTTTGTTTCTGTTGATGTTTTTCATGACCTCTTCACTTACAGATGGTGGTGGCAGTTTGAAGGCTTCGAAGCCGGGGAAGAAACGCAAAATGCTTTCAGCGACTCGTTGGGTGTGGTCCGCCCGTTCCTTTCCTTGATCCTTGAAAACCTGGTTGGTTTAAAAAGCAGTTGTAATAAGGAACCAGTCATTTTCTCCTGGGGTGGGAGCCAAGGATTCTGGAGGGAAGATGGTTTTCATTGGGGAACGGAGTGGGGATCAGTCGTTGCCAACTGAGTATGAAGGGGATATTATGGAAATTGACTGCCAATTAGTTGCCAATGAAGGGGGGGGGGGGTCACAAGACTATTACAGAGTCTTTTAGGGGTCATCAGGGGAACTTTATTGTGACAAAACCAAGATCCTCTGTCATCCCTTTCATAGAGACGTTTGTATCACAAGCCAATACAAGATTTAGATCCCCATCGCTGAGGATATGGAGCACATTATAATGTGATAAGTGATCACTGTAATCAAGGTAAACCAGTCAATCAGTCCCTCTTTGTTTATAGAACACGACTACGTTTTAAGCAAAGTCAATATATAAATTAACTGAGCAGACTTATCCAACTACTGTATGCAAAGAATAAAGAAAGATTTTATTATTATTTTTGGTCGAGTTAAGAGAACGTCTAAGTTTAGACGACTTGCAGAGAGATATATACATAGTTACAAAAAAAAAACCAAAAAAAAACCAAGTTCCTTCCATTTTCAAAACCTGTACATCTCCAAAAAGTTAAACAATAAACCTTACAACCAAGAAACAAAACCATGTTCTCGAATACTCGGTTATTTTGTTCATATAACAAACTGTAAGAGTCTATTCCGAGAAAAAAGTGATATAATCAATATTTCTGCGGCTGTGACAAAGAGTTTTTCAGGGAAGCGTTTGATTAATTCTTTTGTCATTTCTGTTCAACGTTTCAAAATGAGTCGCCTTACCCTTGTTAGGAAATACTCCTTAATGTCTCTGCAGTCTGTTGGAATGGACTGAGTAACATCCCTGAGAAGCCAGATGAAGAATGGAAAAGTCTTGTGGAAGAATTCTGTGTCCTCTCGAGGGCTGCTCGCGCTCACACTGCCGTCGTTGGAGCAAAGTCTTATTCGTTGGGACAACTTCATAATAAAACTGCAAAATGTTAAGAAATGTTTTCGTTTCATCTATCGCGAACGATAGCTTTTCTGTCTCCTCTTATATCTTTGTTCAGCTTGGTTCTCTTTTTGGGAACAAAATCCTATTGTCAAAGGGTTAAAGTTTTACGCTTGCATTCTGACGAGGATAGACGAGAATTTGTTTTAACGAGAGTTTTTCCAGAGTAAGGTCGACTACCATTCTCTGTTTGAGATATAAGCCCTACTCATCCATCAACGCTTAGTAAAAGGTTTGTGATCAAAAAATCGGATCGTTCGTGTCAGAGTTACAGTACATGCATCGGTTTTAGCTAATAGGCTTCAAGAACTAGTTAAAAATCATGCGAGAACACTTTGCGCAGCCGAAGTCATTTACACATGCTTTCCAAGTGCTTTTCAGCAACCTTTTTTAAGATAAATTTTACATCCATATGAAATTTTCTCTTGGAATACGCGTTAAAACCGTTAAAATACCGAGCCTGTATTTCACTTATACAAGCCTTTAAGAACACACAGAAATATGCCTCATTTATGGACTCTTTTCCTCCCTCTGCTAATCCCTCTCCACTCCAAAAATCTGACGTATTTGGTGAAGGATACTCCAATCCATTGAGGTCATGTCTGGTGGGAACCCCTGCTGAGTTGTAGATCAAAACAGAAGCCAGCAAAACAGTGAGAGTAAATATCTGATTGTCATCCAAACCTTCTCCCATTACTGCATCAATTCCCTCTGAGTCTAATAAGACCACGGTACATTCCCTGCCAGTGGAGTCCTGAAAAACAGAAACAGCCAGTTTCAAGTTGCGCAAGCTCTAGTGTGAAGGGGTGATTCCAATTTAACTTGTTTTGGAGGCAGCAGTAACTTGCTATTTTGAAATGACCGCTAAAGCAGTGCAACTTAGTTTTGGCTAGAAACGGGGGGTATAGTGATTTCAAATTTTGACATTTCTTAGCTTTCATAAATTTGAGATTATCGCAACGTCTCCACAGACAAAGGATGCCAAATTTTTCTTGAAAAATGTATGTTATAAGAGTGATTCTTCATTTTTTAAGTTTCCTCTTAAATTTCCTATTGCCGAACACAGCAGTGCAGAAATTGACCTCCTGCCCCCACCTCAGCTTTTTTAACAAGGACCTTCCAACAAGTTAATTCGACATTAATAAGCCCTAAATATAGTCATTAAAACACATTTTATTGACATAGAAATCTGGTCTACAAATCAAAACATCTGTTCTGTACCCTTTTTGCTGAATGAGTTCGAAAACTGCGATGCTTTTGCCAATTGAAATTTAATAATCGTGTCCATAAATGAGAAAGATACAGCCACAGTTACCAGGAGAAAATGAACAGTTGAAGCTTTCTTTCAAGCACTTACTTAATTACTTGATTAATGTGAACTCACCCGCATTTTTTGTGGCACTATCCACATCCAGATTCCAACAGTTTCAGGATCAAAATGATGCCCGAGAGGGAACACCTCGGGTTGATCGAAAGCTTCGCTCAAAATATACGACTTCCCTTTTCTGTATGGACCGGCGATCGATACAACACACACGGGACCTACACATGGGAAATGTAATGAAACATATCTTAATCAATATCGATAAAACTTTAGCAGTTGTAAATCACTTTAAATTACGTTTGAAACAGTCACACCAATTTATTATATGGGCATACAAAGGAATTTATTAGCCTGATCACAGATAGACCGAATTTAATAAACGAGTTCGACTTTAATCTCCAAGATTAAGATCCAGCCCAGAAGAGAAGTTTTAAGTATGCAAAACGAAATATTTGAATCGAGGATTATAAAAGAAAAACCTGCGACCCCTCTGAGTTACTGTTGAAACTAAAACAACTGCATCAAGATAAACTGAGAAGCTTGAGATCCACGTTAACTATAAAACCGAATCGAACAAAAGCAGATATCACTCTGCCCATTTTTATTCTATAATAATCATTTTTGTGTTTCATTATCTAACAATTGCACATTCTTCCAAATGCCTACCTTGAACGTGTGTGTGTAGAGAACTTTACATTCACAGACGACATTTGATGGGTAAGGATATTTATTGTCGATAGAGTAAAAAGGAGCATCACCCTCCCGTCCCCCCACTTAAGCAATTTTTTAGGCGTGCGAAAACAGGTTAGTGAACTGTAAACAAAATCAGTCTCCCCACCCTCCCGTTCCCTAGTTAGATGCAGGCAAGTGGGGTAGCCATGACGCTCCTCTGATCTATTTCATGATTACATGTGTGCAGTTCCCATTGCGCCCAGTAAGAGCTTGGACATTTATAAAAAAGTAAAACTTTTTATGCAAAAACTGAGGACCATGAAGCATTGGACAGAAAGTATACCTTTCACAGTCTTAAGCTTCTTCAGCGCTTCCTCCACCACATACAGAAACGTTCGCTGTCGTCCGGTTTTAATATATTTTCCAGTTGCTGCGTTCCACCGGCAGTTGTTGGGTAAACAAAGAGGAATGGCAATGTTTTGATTTTTTCTTGACGCCATGTTTCCAGCTCTTTTCTGAAAGAACAATAAATAAAATGTTACATGACGCGCTAAAGTCCAGAAAACAATATAAAGTTACAATCCATTTGTACAGGCAATCACATGATTTCGAGTGCTATTTAGAGAAATAAGCACGAAGAGAATTTTAAACGATCAACAAAATTGCACAGGCCAGTCTTTGAATTAAATTTACGAATGCAAATTTATTCCAAAACATTTCTCCATTCTGATTGACCAGGAAGGAATGCAGTTTTTTGAAAACACAATCCAGGAAAGAGGAAGTTAGGAATGAAAAAGGTAACAAATCGTTTAGTAGGGCTTAAAACCTTTTCTGCATGATTATCCCTAAATTGCTCTACGCGAAGTTGCATTACGAATTAATTCTATCAATAAAAATGATGAAAGAAACCCAGGAATAAAAAATTAAGTGTAAGAGCACATACGCTTCCTATTGATATGTGCTTATTTTCAGTGGGGCCATTTGAAAACACTAATCCTTTGATGTATTAATGCTACCACAATTTTTTTTGTTCCGTTTGTTCCTTTATAAATGGTATGAAAAGATGCCGGTGTATTTCTCAACAGCTTTTAGCAATTTTCTGGACTAAGCTAAATGCTAGAGTTCTAAGGCTCAGTTTTACCATCAGATGCCTGTAACTCAAAAAGGCTGTTTGAAAATCAATGCTGCTCTCAACTGCTCAATAACAGAACGGTACTGGCTCATGTTTATGATGAAAACGTCCTGGTATTATTTGAAAATCTTATTTATCTAATTTTGCTAAAAACTGAGAAGAATTGGTTTTAATTACATCGCATGGAAACCAGAAATACATCACGACTACACTAAATATCTACTCCGGCGAGTTCTTTCAACGCTTGGATCAATGATCGCAGAGATAATTGGGAAAAAATTTACTCAAATCTCTTTCCTTTATTGAGTCGATGGCAGTTTCATTCAAAAGGATGTTAGGGACCTTAAGCGGTCAGGACGGCAACGCCGAGGAAAACTTCGATTAAAAATGAATTTCTGCCTTAAATTAGAATTTAAAAAATGGCTGCATTTGTTTACCGTCTCATACGGTGCCACACCTCAACTTTAGCATAACGTATAAAAGAAGCGTTGAGTTCCAAATGGAAATTTAAAAAATTTGCCGTCGCGGTTTCGGTTCGCAGACGACGCAAATTGTGGTGATTTCACGTTGTTGCTTTGTATAGGACAGCTGAGAAGTGTACAAAGTTCTAAAACGCGCGTGTTGAGCTATAGTTCTGCCAATTAGATTTTTTGTTTTTCCACGTACTCGTTGCCGTCGCCGTCGTGGTTTTCTTATGGTCCCTATTTCTTACAACAGAAGTTTGAAATTTCATGAGATTAAATTGCCAAGTCACACTTTGTCAAAAATCACTGATGTGTGACATGTTTATACTGAAACTTGGAGATCAAAGCCGGAACTGGTAATGTTTTGCTTTTCGAGCGTCGTATCGTTTTCATAAACCATTTGTTCATTACCTTAGAAATTTCATGGACTCCAATTATAAAATAAGGTTAAATGGGAAGTTGGAATGTCAGGATAAAGAATTAATAAAATGAAAAGTAGCAAGTCAGATTACAATTTAAATCAAAACAGTCCTAACATTAGAACGAAAGATATCTGTCACAGAGGTTTGCGTTTCTTCACATCGTTCATCTGCTAAGCTAAGAGATAAGAAAGATTACTTGTACAGGCGTAATCACCACTCCCTCCTCTCTTTCAAAAAAAAATAAAGGAGTTTCTTTAGTTTGTGAATCCAGTACCGTGGTATCTAAAACTCAACTATACATTTGGAATGCATGAGTAATTAATTCCATCTAGCTTTAAGATACTTTACTCCGCTTAAAAGTAGTTTTTCGTGCCTCTTACAAGACAGCCCACAACTTATCCACAGGTTTGAAAGTGTGCAGGTTCGTATGATTTCAATTCTTTCATTAAAAGTACCTTCTTGATGAAGGTTAGATCCAATTTCGCTTTAAAATCAACCTGCCCCTCAATTGAAACTGTGGGCGACAAAAGAATAACAACATCCAATACAGAACAACAAGCCATATAGCAACGTACTAATGAAATAAGAACTGTACTTCACTCGCTTGGTGAGGTAAGTATACAGTTATGGTACTCACCTCAAAGGAATGACACCCTTCTATCGCTGTTAGATAAATCTGAGATTTATTCTGCAGTGAATGAATAATGACTTGCTCTGAAACTGAAAGATATACGAATTTGGAGAATACCCATGGCTCTTCTTGGAAGGCGATTGGGGGTCCTCTGAATGCGCACAGAAACTGAAAGCTTTCCGTTTGGACGTGACGTGCAGAGTAATCAATAAAAAAAGGAATAACAATGACGATGTAATGACAAAGCTATTTCAGTATCGTTACACGACCCCTCAGCAGTTTTTAAGAGTCCATGACTGTAAATATCGAGAATCGCTGGCCAGGCTAAAAAACTCGAAAATTCTGATAATATGTCTGGAAAACCCTTTTAGGGAGATGTATTAAAAAAATATTTCGAAGTTTGAAAAATCAAATGTTTCCGAGAAAATGGGGAAAAACGAAAATTTGGGTTTCTACCTAATTAATTATGCAAAAAAATACAGTAAAATTGACCAACTTTAGTGTGCGAGTACTGAAGGAGGATGTTTGGGAAGAAATCGGGGGTGTTTTTACTTCAAAGTATAATTCATTTGATTTTTATTTGTGGCATTTTAAGGAGCTTTGATTTAATTTTAAAATTCACATGATTTTTTTTAACAAAGTGCAGTCAAACGCTTGTTGCAAAAAGCGAAAAAATCGAGCAACTTCAAGCCTTCAAAACGCGTCTTGGCATGTGAGAAATCATATCAAACTACATGCTGGCACAAAGTTTGGTCTTTATATGAAAATAATATGAAATAAAAAATCTGGGTAATTAAGAAAAGTGCCGGCAAAATAAAAGAGTTTGCAACGCACTGTGTATTAAGGTCAAGAATTTGCATGATGCAAATTAGTTGTAGAAATCGTACTTGAGAGCTACGAAGTAAACAAGATAGTTAAAGATGGTTAAAAAACTCTTTGATATGGAAATGATATGAAATTATAGAATAAAAAATCCGCAGACATTGCTGAAGAGGGCTGTAAATTGATGTATAGATACGAACTTTTCTGTTAATTTGAATTGCAGAAGACTGTTATTGTCGACTCGCTATTTCAACAGCACTACCTACACCTAACTATAGATAAGGGCCGCTGTATAGTTCACCATTTTTACAAGTGGTTTATTATCGACATCGTTCTTAGTTGAATAGTTACGTTTTCTGCAACTGCGATAATATTTCTTTTGAAATATCTTGGATATCTTGGAAAAAGTTATGCGAGTAAACAAAGTCACGCAACACCGCAAGCTTCTGCTGTGAAGTTTTTCACCTCAAGATAACAGCCCAACCTTTTTATGCTATTTACTCTTATCTTTTTGGGAAAAATGGCCACATTTCTGTCATAAAACTTGATAAAAAGGACTTCTGTCACGGTAGCAATTGTACCGTGTTACAGTCCGGGCGATAATTCTCTATGATGCAACCACGGTCTTTTTCTTAAAGGTAAACACGTGCGAGGTTTTTCATAGAGCATAAACAGAAAACGATGTCATTCTGTAGCTTTGCTTCTCTTCTTGGGGGGGCTTGTGGTGCAAGTTCTGAAAATCCAAACATGGCTGACTTTGTCGAATTGAAAGACTGTACTAGGGATCAAGTGTTTCCATGTCCAAAGGAGGGCTGCACGCATAGTTTCCAACGGCACTCTTCTCTAGAAAAGCATCTCGTGTTCAGAACATGCACAAAGACGGTTGAAAGGGAGACACTTCTTGGTAAAGCGAAGGTTAAATATGCGGCAAGGCTCGAGGAAGGTTCAAGTTCCGTGCCAACTATTCCTCTACCTCCTGAAACCTGTCCTCGTAGCACTGGACATGTAACACTGCCTGAAGGCTTCGCTTTAAAACAAGTAAAGAAAGTCTACCGGTTTAACAAAAAGCTACGAGAGTACCTGACTTACCATCGGACAAGAAAGCGGCAAGAAGGTCGACGCGGAAATTGTTGCAACAGAAATGAGAAGAGCAAAGGAATTGAACGGGGAACGCTTGTTCAGTGTCTCTGAGTTTTTTTTTTACTTAACAAGTAGCTTCATTTTTTTCTAGAATGGCAGCAAAAGTGAAACAGCAGACAGCCCCCTACGCACAAGCTGTAACTGAGCAAGATCTCGTTGCTATGGAGGAAGAATTTAATTTGTCAAATGCTAAGGAGTCTATTTTTGAGCGGTTAAATGTAACTCATTCTATTCATTACCAACAGTACAACTGTTCCATGGTCGAGAATAAAACACTCAAAAATCTCGAACTCGCAGTCTTAAAACTCCTTTGCGAGAGTTTGAATCTTGCATTACCACCTGGGGTTGATCATAGAAAAAAGACATCTTACGTCGCTCTGCTCGAAGACCTTGTTAGATGCTGCTCTTGCAGTGAAGTTTAAAAGGCAAATGGCAAAAGGCTGCTTCAAAAAATTGAGTTTTATATGAACGTTGATATAAAACGGGGCCGCGGAGCATATTTTGGATCGGAGGAGCTTTAGCAGTTCCCACGTAGTGTGAGCTCATTGACACCAACTTATAATTATCTATGAGGGCCCTGGGGCCTCCCCTCCGAGGAGGGCCTCCTTTTGTCTGTTTCTTAGTACGCCTTTCTTAGTACAGAAAGACTGCTAACAGGGTATCCTGGGGTATGCTCCCCCGGCAAATTTTGAAATCTAGAGCTTCTGAAATCACCGGAAACGCGTTTCAATCCAAAGGAAAATTTGTCAAATTTTTAATTCAAAGATTAAATAAATTATAATGATAACAAATTGTTATTGGTGGGGCTACAGCCCACTCAACCCCATAGCTCCGCGGTCCCCGTATTACAGGCGCAAACCAGAAATGAAAAAAGTCCCTTGGAACCGCACTTGGCAGTCAGACAGGATCAGGCCGGCTGGATGTTGTTCGATATAGACTCATAAAAGAAATTATACCAGTAATATAAAACGAGATATATAGGACTGGATGCTTTAGAATGGAGTTTTGATTAAAAAAGGATTGTGTCCGCTTTACTCGGCAACTTAACCTTTGATCCAACGTGAAAATTGTCACGCAATTGAAACATTTTGCTTTTCGTCAAGACAGTTACGAGAAATGAAACAAAAAATTCATTGGCTTAAAAACGAATTAAACGCTATTAAATACTGGTCATTATTCTTGTAAATTTCATGTTGTAGCCGTCAAAAGAGCCTTTCCTACACCAGAACCGTTAGGCGGTACGATTTCTACAACTGATTTGCATCATGCAAACTCGTGACCTCTGGCCACAGTGCGTCGCAAACCTTTATGTTTTGCCGGCACGTTTCTGAATTACCCAGATTTTTTATTTCATATTGTGTTAGTATAAGGACCAAACTTTGTGCCAGCATGTAGTTTGACATGATGTCACACATACCAAGACGCGTTTTGAAGGCTTGAAGTTGCTCGATTTTTCGCTTTTGCAACAAGCGTTTGACAACTTTGTTAAAAACAGTGAGTTTTGTTAAAAAATCTTAAAATGCCACAAATAAAAAATCAAATGATTTCTTAGTAAAAACATCCTGATTTCAGTATCCTCCTTCAGTGCACACTAAAGTTGGTTAATTTTACTGTATTTTTTGCATAATTAATAAGGTAAAAACCCGAATTTTCGTTTTTCCCCATTTCCTCGGACATATTTGATTTTTTAAACTTTAAAATAATTTTTTTTGAATGTATCTCTCTAAAAGGGTTTTCCAGGCAAATTATCAGAATTTTCGATTTTTTTAGCCTGGCCAACGATTCTCGATATTTACAGTCACGGCCTCTTAAAGGTGTCACGCAACGGTCTGTTACTACCTCGAGAGCGACTGGTTTGTGGCAAATTGTGGCAGATATGAACTTTTTCGGGAAAAAATTAAAAAGGCAAACAATGAAAAAAAAATCTCAAAATATTAAACATAAAATTTACCAGAAAGTAATGAATAGACTGATAAATCACCGTTGACTATACGTGTACTTCTTTGCTTTCATTAAATACTTCAGATCTAATTTCACAAAAAAATATGACTATTTTAGTTTGATCTAAGACTCGCTTTCGTTTGACACGAGTATTTCAAAGAATTATTATGCAACTCGCCATTTCCCATTTCAAAATCATTTTTCTCTCATTTTATTTTTATTTTACGACAAAAACCTCAAATAGTCTTTTTGTAGAACTTGCTTCTTTACTATCCGCAATGCACTCAGGACATTAGAGCGAAAACATGTTGCATGCAGTCCTTACTTTTCCCCTGGAATAGATCGATGTAGAGTCACTATGATAAAAGCCTAAAATAATCAGTGATGATTAAACTTTGAAAGTATCGAGTAGATCTTTTCCAAAGGGGCGAATAATATTGAAAAAGCATCATATTTAAAAAATTGATCCATTTTGTCAGAAGTCTGTTAAATTACAGTTGATAGATGACGTCAAAATTCGACATAAACAAATAAAGAGACTCACAAGACGAGGTGTGTTTTCACAAAATGGAGAAACAAACACGATAAAAATACCAAATTTTCCATCATACAGTTCACTGTTTGGAGGAAGACAATCTCCTGATATGATCCATTTCTCTTTTACTAATTCGATATGACTGGGGTTTGAAATGAATACCCAACGATGCCAATGTTTGCAATTAAGTTTTTTGGGCTTTAATGAAATGTGATTGCATGAATTTTTGTAGGTAATAGGAGGCTGGTTCTAATTCCGCTGTGGGTTTATAATATAGGGATTTTGATTTTCGAACGCCGGGCCGTTTTAGAGATGAGTTAATTATTTCTCGTGGGAGCGGCTCATACATATTAAAAAGGAAAGATTGCATTTTCAGCTGAACCCATTGAAAACGCAAAATTCAGAATGCATGTCTGGGGATATTCCAAAAACCACAATAACTCGGTGCTCCTCACTCTCTAGAGTGAAGAGATGGACACATGAACTCACAATGTGCTCAGATTTTTTTGATCGCTGGTGTTTGAAAAGGACAGGTGAATATGACACTGGAGCTACAAAGTTAATTGAATATTAGTACGGATGGTATTTTTCAGTTCTAGGAGTTCCTTTAATGTACCTTTAGTAACGACTTCATTTTAATATAACTACGAGTTGTGTTAAATTTCTGTCATTGCGATCTCTAAATGTCACATGAAGAGTGCTGAATGATTAATGCACCATACCCTATTGTTCTCTTGCTATAATGGACATAAACCATAATCACACAAGACAGTGGTCTTAGGTCCGCACTGTGTGCGAGCAGTGGAAATTGCATCTTATACTGCAACTTTATATCAAAGCCATTTAGATGTCGCCTAAAAATTACCACTAAAGAGCAATCTGAGTTGGGTAGAAAATTGAAAACCAACCAAAATCCGAAGCAAGAGTAAGCCATCGGAGAAAAAATATATATAATTGCTGCAGTGCTGTGATGAAACAAGAAATGAACGAGAGGGATGTTTCGCCTTGTCACGAGCGTGCTTCAAAGGAAAAAATTCTAAATTCTTTCCATCTACCCCATTCTGTTATAATAACCCATACATTAAGCTTCCGTCATTGCTTATCCATGCAGTATGGAGGAGGCATATCTCATATGAGCCTAAAAAGGCCTAGTAATGGCCTCTCTCATCGTGGTCTAATTAGCTCAGGGGTAGAGCATCGGAGCTTGGAAGTGAAGGTCTGAGGTTTGATTCCTAATGGAGACTCAGAATTGTTCCTTTGTCCCACGCTCGTGACAAAGTGAAAAACATATCTCTATTTCACTAACGAGATCAAAACTTGCCATCTTTCCTAAGACATAAAATATCAGCAATAATGGGAGAAAAAACCCACGCAAAATGCGCAAACGAATTTTACACGCTGGTTTCAATCAGAAAACTCTCTTGTTATCTACATTGACGTTTTGGTTTCATTCAGCAGATAGAAATACTTAATGTCAGTACCTCCGAGGTCCATAGTAAAATTGCGTTCATGGAATTAAACTAACCTTGCATTTTTTGCTATCAAGGCGAGCTACATACACAACTGATTACATTATACTGCATACGTGATCAGAAACAAAATGACACACAGCACCGACGGCGGCAGCAACTGGTGCAGCAATCGGTGCTATAGTCGGTACAATCGCAGAAACAGCTGTACCAACCAAAGGCACAATTTTCCCTACACCTTTAAGCGCTTTCTTCCAAAATCCTGGTTTTTCTACTTCTTGTTGTCTCTCTCGAGTCTCTGCTATGTTTCTTTGCCGCTCTTCTGCTTCTCTGGTTCGTCTATCAATCAATTCAGCTGTTTCACCACTCTTCAATTTATCCTGTGGAACTTGCTCAGGCATCTCATTTGACTTTGTGTTCAATTCATCCCGTAGAGCCTTCATTTCTTCATCGTGTTTTTCATTCAACGCTTTAACTAAATCTTCCTTGTCTTGATCAGCTTGATCCTTCATCTGTTGACGAAGAGCCTCTCTTTCTTTCTGTTGCTGGGCGGCTCGGTCAGACATATTTTGAACCATTTTCATGTTTTCTTCGTTGCGTTCTTGGAATGCCAGGAACCGTTCTTGTAAAGCTTCGTTTTCCCTCATGAATGCCTGGCGTTCCTCTTGGGCTTGTCTCATACTTGCTTCCATCATATTTTGGATTTGATCTTGATGCGCCTGGCGTTCGCCTTTCATTTGGTCAGCAAAGCGTCTCTTTTCTTCATCAAGATTTCTAATCAACATTTCCATCTGATCACAAAACAAGAGTAGAGAAAAATAAGATCAGAAAAACTCTTCTCAACAACAGGTGACAGTGCTTACAATGATATGTTAAAATTCTATCCGGAATCTTTCTCTCCTCTGATGTTCCTTTTTTATCTCTCCTAAATTTTTGTCTTATCATTAAATTTATGTTTCCTAGAACATAAAGTAGTTTTGTACTTCACCAGAAATGATCCTTAGTACTATGCTCTTTTATCGGTTTTCTTGTTCTTGGGAAAAAGAAGCTTTCTTGACCCGCTTAATCCTACACGTTCGAGCTATCAAAATATTCAAACAGCATTCACTACGCTCGTTTTTTTAAATGCAGTCGATTTGAAAGGAAAGGGTTCTCTGTATTTTTGGCCGCACATGACCATTAAAAATGTTTGTAACTTCAGTGAAATTCGAACTCAAACGTCCGGGTCTCAGTTCGATCCTTTGACCAACTAAGCAATAAAACTTAGTCACAAACAATTTTATGTATAATGATTGACAATTCAATAGTTACCGATAAAATTCACACGAAAGATGTTAATGGGAGAGATACACGTTAATGGAGGGTTTCCAGCAATACATTCTACAAAAACTTCGCGAAAGTTTTTTAGCTATTGAAACCTTTTTTTTTTTTTTTTTTTTTTTTTTAACATCTTAAAAAAAAAAGATACCTATTATTTTTACCTGTTTCTTCTTTTCAAGATTTTCTTGTTGAAGACGTGCCTGCTGTTCCTGTGAAGAGAAAAATAACTCTTTCTAGGAATAAAACTTTTCTGAACCGTTTACTAAAGCATGCTCTGCTTTGACAATCAGGTGGATCAAAGATCTCCTAATCACAAAGGGAAAATTTTGGACCTATTTCCTGGACGTTAGGGCTTGTAGATGATAGACGCATTGACTTGTACAAGCATTTCTGGCTTCATTCTTACCTCTAGCTTTTTTCTCTCCTGTTCTTGATATGCCCTGGCAGCCAATTCTCGGCTCCGCTCCTCGTCAAAGTCTTTTAATTGTGCCAGTATCCCCAGATATTGCTCCTTTTCCTTCAGCAGATCCTGAGACGAGATTAAGCAATGTTTATTTCCTGGACTATTTCTCTAATTCACATGAATATATTTTCACTTTTTAAGTGACCAAAACCGCATCTTTATCCAAATGATTTCAGATATGTGCAAAGCATTGCAAGCGTTTTAAACCACTGATATTTTCCAATTATTGATGATTCAAACTGCAAGCAGAACTAAGCTTAGATGATAATAATAATAATAATAATAATAATAATAATAATAATAATAATAATAATAAAAATAAAAATAATAATAGTGTTTTCGTCAACATTGAGTTTTAAAACTGGAATTAATTTAAAAAATAAAATTTATAACATGTTATTATAATCAATTTATTTAGTATACTATTGATTATTAAACGATAAAATTGCACTGGGAAAGAAATTACGACGTAATCTTTCTCTATGCTTTGATATTTTATAGTTCTTTTACGTTTCTTGTTTGGTTAACGGCGCAGACGCCCTCACTTTAGGGGGATGTTTGAAGAATGGGCCCCCTCTTTGTATCTTTGGGAGTGTAATCAAACAAAGTTCACTTCGTCTTCTATCTGATCTAGGTAGTTTTAGATATTGGAGAGCTTCTCTGTGTGAAAGTGCAGGTACAATGACCTTGAAGGTGCGTTTCTGTTTACGTTCTATAGAGAAGCAAGAGGGAAGGCCGTGGTGCCTATTTAAGTGCAGATCGTATCAAGGATAAGTAAATTGTGACTAAGTTTTACCCCCGAAGCCCAATGCACTCAATACAAGGAGTATTTGGAAACGTTTAGTAGCTATGGTAACTGTAGCATCAACACGGTTGTTCCACTTTAAGTTATTCTGAATTTCTAGTCGAAGTACTTTACGAGCAATAGAGTTGATAACGTAAATTTGCTACCGTAAAGAGTTAAAAAACTGACGTTAAGCGGGCTAGCCCTTCGCCATTCCCTCTGACGAAGGGCAAACGCTCGAAACGTCAGCTTTTAAATCTTTACGGTGGCCAATTTACGTTATCAACTCAATTGATAATACCAAATTACACTGCTATAATTTCCCGCCGACGCAGTACCACAGTTTCGTTAGAAACCTATCCCTTTATGAGAGATGACAAGCTCTAGAGGCTGATCGTCGATCTTCAATAGTGGGAGTTCCCTATTTTCCTTTAGAAAGCATATCAGCATTTCTTGGCATTTTTTAGCATTGAATTATAAAATAACACCCATAAGGTAGAGCGTTATTCCACGGAAGTTGAAGTCTCTAGAGAGGGTGATCGTTTATCTCGAATACGTCTGTTGATCATTCCCGTTTTTCCCACGCTTGAGTATTTACTTTTATTTACTCAACAGCTCGGGTTGCTTTCGGCTTCCCCTTGAAAAACTCTCGGCGCTTCTCTAGTGCTATCCAAACTTCCCACGTGCATCCAGAACTAGATATACGCACGCTAAGCATGAACCAGTTGTCTTAAAACTGGCGTATTGTGACATTGTTCATAATTATGGTGTTCCCAATTGGATCTCTACGTACCTAGATAAGAGCTCTGCTTTGCTTTGTTACGTTATGACGTCGTTGGTTTAATGAAATGCTTACGAATCATTTCAAAGAATGAACATGTTGTCATATCCTGGTAAATACGAGCGTGTAACAATTCATGTAAACTGTCACAATACTTCACAGTTCTTATAAGCCTTGGTTACTTCTTTAATAATGACATTGAAAGTTAAATGAATCACAACTTTACTATTCCTTACTTTATGAAGCTCCAAAAATACAGCGGCGATAACGTCTTCAGCTCCCACTGCATACTGATGGAAATCGTCCTTAACTCTCTGATATCCACCAATTATGTCTTCAAATGATATTTTGTCTCGTTCCTCACCCAAAAGTTTCTCAAATACAGGGTCCAAATGATTCTTTTTTAGGTCTCGTAAGAGAATTTCGCAGGATTTTCTCGTGAGCTCTTCGTTTTTAGTCAGCCAAGAGAGCAGTTTTGCTTCCACTGATAACTGTTTGTGGAAATAAAAAACGTTATTTAAACGAAATGATTCATAATGAAGATATTTTAAGGGTACTTTTCAAATTCTTTTGCAAGACATAAAATTCCCTTAGGCCCGGTCCGGATAGAAGCGAACCTCATATCAGTCTATTACACAGCGTTAAAAACGCTAGCTTGGTATGAAAATCCCGCAAATTCACTCGGTAATTATAATAAAGTTTGAAATTAAAGGTAAAAGTAGAGGTTCTTAGGAGCAAAAATAATCACTTCAATCCACGGTCTCCGGGCTGTCTTTGAGAATAATTTTAGGTAGTAGGCGGACACTGAGGTGTAATTCTACTAAATACAGAAATACTTTCTACTAAATACAGAACTACTTATCATCTATTCTCAGGCTCGACTGACTGAGATGTCACTGTCCGCAATCCAACTGTATGAACTCTGTGATATGGCAGAAATGTTACACAAACTTTCTTCTATGTATAAACCATGATTGAAAATTTGGCTTACACCATACTCAATGGTCAGCGGAATTCACTTTTTTCAAAAGATACAATGAACCAAGAAGAAATCAGGATAGTGAAAAAACTCTAAAACAAACACTTTTTGCGACTCGCCTGAAACTCTCTAGTTGTCATTTCAACTAAATTTGTAGAAATTCCAGCAAGTTCCATCATCAACTGATCCTCGCATTGCTCAAGAACATCGTTATGGCACATACGAATATCATTATTTCTGCGAGGTAACGCATCCGATAATCGGGCCGTCATAAGTGCATCATACATTTGCAGAGTAGACTGTTTTGCATTTGCGCATTTGCCTTCGACAAACGTCTCCCATGCGCTTTGAACATTCGGAATAGCATCAGGAGCATTTATTGCGTCGACGTAGAGCTGAACCATAGCTGCGAGACCTAAAATGAAATTTTATTGAAGTATTCCGTTTTGTATAACCGAATTGCCACATCCCAATTATTATTACTATTATGATGACTATTGTTAATATCATAATTATTATTATTATTATTATTATTATTATTTCATCATTGTCAACATCATAATTATTGCTATCAATTTTTTCTCTAGGCGTTGATCATTCTGATTCGAATGCAACATTGTTCAGATGAACGATTCCTTTTCCAGGCTACATTCTTGCATTTGCTTCAAAGGAACCGGATCAAGTCAATTTTGAAAAAAGGTAGATAGTTTGAATATTCCTTCGTGTATCCCAAATTTTTCTTTCTCAGGTGTTCATACCAGGAAGGCAAGAATCGCTGATCGTGCGTGTGCACAGTTAGAAGTCGCTATTGCATTTAAAATAACTCATTCATGGTAGATATCTAAAGCGACAGTTAAAAAAAAAAGCAAGTCTACCTTCTCCTGTGACGAACTCTCCATCATTAAAGCTGCGTTTAGGGGATAAAGTGTCCCTCAGTAAGCTTTTAAACCTCTCCAAGCCACGCCAGAACCACTGATTCACTTTGCTTTTTGTCTTGTTTAAGCTTTTCATTGTCTCAAGATCAACTGTTGGAGGTGGCAACATAAAGGCATCGAAGCCAGGAAAGAAACGCAAGATGCTCCCAGCTACTCCTTCCTCGGTTTTATTATCCGCATCTGATGAAACTTGTCCTTTAAAAACCTGACGTTAAGCATGAGAAGCCCATGATCCTTAAGTTTCTATATAACCGAATTATCCTAATGAAATACCGAGATGGCAGGTACCCTTGAACATAGATTGTGAACTTCATATGATTTGAATTTTGAAGATCTACTTTAAGCAAGATATTGTTCTCTAAAGGAGAGTAGAGATCTATCGTATTTAATGAGATTAGCCTCTGCGGATAACTATGTTCTTTTAACAAGGATAGGCGTTATCAAACACATCTTTCACAAGCAGATACTATGCCATCCCTCTGGATGGTTTCGACTTTTCCGATACAAACTAATGAAAAGAGCTTCCTTCCCTAATGGCCGTTGATTGAGGATGGATTAAGCTACTTCTTACACACCGTCAAAAACATGTGTCATTAACAGTCGTATGCCTCCCAAAACTAGTAGAACGACAAGGATTACCTTTTTTAAGAAATATTCTTTGATGTTCTTGCAGTCATCTGGTATAGACTGTGTTACATCTCTAAGCAGCCAGATGAAATAGGGAAATGTTTTATGGAAAAACTCGCTGTTTTGCGATGGACTATACGCACCAGAGACGGTGGATCGCGTCTGAATTCTTTTGGAAAGTTTTACTATGTAGCTGCAAACCGTCAAGGAATATCTATGGTATATATGTCAACCAAAACTGATACCCACATTATTTTGAGCTCAATGACCTATAAAAGCTCCCTGTTTATTTATCAGAATCCAGTGTGTAAAAACTAAAAACAAAAAACAAAAAACAAAAAGAGATTGTGCACAACCGTTTTTCTATCTTTTGTTTGAACACAGAGCAAACGATTTTGTCTTGTTACAGAGCTTTCAACAACAACTGGAATTTTGCCCGCTTTTTTTATGCAGACAATCCTATTAACTGTAGTTCTGATATCTGTTCTACTGGAGAGTTGTCAAGGATATTCCAGTTTCTCTACATCACTTCGTGTCGGAACACCTTGCGAATTGTATATCAACACGGACGCTAACAAGACTGTTAGAGTGAAGATCTGATGGTCATCGGTGTTTTCACTATTTGTGGCGTCAATCCCTTCAGAGTCCAGTAACACCACTGTGAATTCTTGTCCATTGGAATTCTAAATGCAATATCGATTGAACAAATTTTATAAAGTTAATAGGTAAACTCTGGACTTGAGGTTAGTGGCCCGTTCAGTTGGAGTTTATCCCGCGGTTTCTGCAGCATGACGCGACCGGGTTTATTTGCCACTCACCCAATACGGGTTACCTAATACATGCATAACAGTGATAGCCCCTTCGCATTTCGTCAGGCTTCCCCGGCAGTTCGCCGGTACCGGGCCATTTAAACTTCTGAATGGAGGGAGGCACAATGAGACTAAAGTTTCTTGCCTCAGAAAACGGCAAAACGACCCAGCCAGGTCTCGATCCGTACCTTCCAACCGGATTCCTACCGTGTCTACCCCAACATTTTGAAAATAGACATCATTAATTAAAAGCGGTTAGTGCAAGGTTACTTTTATCTTATAAGATACTGCCAAACTCAATGAATAAACAAACCTTAAATTTTTCTGGAACAATCCATATCCAGATTCCCATAGTCTCAGCCTCCATTTTATGTCCAAGAGGAAAAACGTCTGGTTGGTCAAAAGCTTGGCTTAATATATAGGACTTCCCCTTTCTGTAAGGACCAGCGATGGATACCACGCACACTGGGCCTGTTGAAGAACGATAAAAAGAAATTCGCAGTTAACATAATGACTGATTTAAATGAAGAATACATTTTGCTATAATCACTTGCAGGTTTTCTTTATTGTTTGGCCTAATTAATTGAAGCAATTCTAATTTAATTCAAATCAGACCGGAGCTTAAATTACGCATCGTTTTCATTTTAGGTCACGAAATGAAAATTTTTCCATTTTGAGTTAGCAACTTCTTTGTATGAACTACATTTTGGTCAGCGAAATTTGAGAATTAGATAACTCCTCAATATCAATATTGTAGCCGACCATAGCTTGCCTTTAACTCTCCTGAGTTGTTCAAGTCCGTCCTCGACCACTCTTAGAGAACTCCTCTGATCGTCTGTCTTTGTCGTCCTTCCCGCAAGCGCATTCCAGTGGTAGTTGTTTGGCAAACAAAGAGGAGAAGCAGATTGTGTGTTCTCTATGGTGCGTACCGAAGGATCGAAGCAATTGACGTCAGCAAGTAGAAGTTCAGCGGATGAAGCGTCAGAGCCATCGGATTGAACGGATCCAAACCGAGTGTGAAATAGTAATAAAAACGAAGTATGAAATATTTCTAGCATTTCCCCCTGATTTCCTGAATATTCAATTGGGGCGAGACATGCACTCGACATACGTAAGAAGACAGAAAGACAACAAACCCAAGGAAACGAATCAGCAAGCACCAAGAAAGGAAGAGAAAGAAGAAGAAGAAGGCAAAAACAAAGCAAAACAAAAAACTTTTGAAATGTTATGACAGCTAAAAATGACGAAGGAGGCATTTAAGTGGTTTCCTGGTTGACGTTTATTCATTCTTGTCATTGTAAAAATATCTAGGTGAAGGGCCTTCAACGAATGTAAAGGAAAAAAAGGATTTCGTTTTTTTAAAGTTTAAAATTGACTTAGTGAGTAAATGACTGGTCTAAATAGAAGGACTGTCATTTATTTTTTTCCATTTGAGAAATTACTTGAGCATTAAAGATGAACATGGCTAATCACATCTGAATAAAGGAGGGAAGTTTCTAAAGAAACTGTGGTGCTGCGTTGGTTGGAGAGTATAACAGGGTAATTTAGTGTTATCAGCTAAGCTGATAACGCAAATTGGCCACCGTTAAGAGTTAAAAAACTGACGTTTCGAGTGGTAGCCCTTTGTCCATCTGCTTTGAAAAAGAGCCAACGCTCGAAACATCAGCGTTGTAACTATTTACGATGGCCAATTTACGTTATTAACTCAGTTGATAATATTAAATTACCCTGTTGATCACTTCTGAACAAGAATATGAAATGCGTCTTTAGGTTGCTCTTTATGGCACCCATGTGTAAAGGTTACTTTTATGAGGATACATTTTTGTTGCAATAATAAATACAAAGACGCTACCGGGGTTGGGAAAAGGACGAATTGATCCGTAGTCAAAGGCTTATGCATTTGACCCACCGGTTACATTAAATTACAAACCTGGTGTTTCTAAAGAAAGAGCCACAGCTCTAGCTAATATTTGATCTTCATCATCATCTTGTGTTTGAAAATCCTGTCAGATGGGAAAAAAAATAATGGCAATGACGATCATCGTATGAGAATTAAGCCTTACTACAACGTTCAAGGACACATCACTCAAAGGGTAAAGATAAATGTATGGTCTTGCAGCACATAACTAACCAAGGCTCACAAGATGTCGCATAAGTATTCCAAGATAATCTAACAGGCCTAAAAAGTTCCCAAAAATTTAGCCAGAACAATTTTAATTTTATTAGTTCCCAAACACCTCTAATTTTAGTAGTTCATAACACTACCATGTTAAGACCAGAACTTATAGAATCTTGAATGTATGCTGAAAGTTGGTAACTCTGGATATTCAAAAGATACCTGCACCAAAGATGAGGGAGTTGGAGAGTCTTCTGGTTTGGACATTTTTAGTACTTTGGCCAGGGCTTCGTCTTCATTTTCCAACTGGAAATGCCTCAAATCTTCAAATCCCTGATGTAAAATAATATTTCCAAACAAGATATGGCACCTTGCTGATTAGTGATTTACAGATTTGCATTTGCAACAAAAAAGGTCACTTATATCCTTAAAATTCGAAGTTATGCTTATGTATCCATCAAGATGTAGGCGATGCAATTTGTCACTGATCAGGATAAAATAATGGGACAGAGAAGAACGCTTTCTGCTCTAGGCCCTAGGATATGTCAATCTCACGTTATTTAAAGATAGCCGTTGCCGAAACACTCTGAACATGTGTTAACATATAAGACAAACTCTTAATAATTAAGTTCAGAAATCGATGACGCTTATATCACAGGATAATAACATTTACAAGCTAACCAAGCGTTACGAACCCGTTTTTCCTCGAACAATTCTTCATAAAATAAAACCTTTGGAACACAACACCTCTATAGGCACCGAAGCGAGAGTCGCATTTCGCTTAACCCGAAACGAATGTTATGTTATTGCGCATGTCACACGTCGCTTTCCGTTTAGCATATGGCCTTTTGGTCACGGAAAATGAAATGCATCCGTCCTCTTTCAGTAGGCCTTGATCGCCTGTGAGTATGATTGGAGTGCCGGCGAACAGCGACGAGATTGGTTCTTTAAACATCAAACGGATTCCGGAAATAAGAAACTACATTTATTCAGGAAACTCGATTCTTCTAACTCCAAGCTAGAGAAAACTTAAGTGAAATCTACATATCCCGGCCAACGCCTTTATTTTCCCTCTCTTCTCGTTACTTTCTCTTGATTTTAATCTAATAACGTTTTCTGGACTCTTGGTGTTACAACGAGTCAACACTACAAGGGTGCAACTTTCCATTTTGTGGCAAACAGATGAGAAGCGTACTAAGGGAAATCTGCTAGGATTTCTTAAAGAATCATTTACTGAATCCCATGAGTCATCAAGATATCAATTCTCCTGACAACATCGGCGCATTGAAGAGCAAACAAGTTATAAGAAATTGTAAGTTTTGAACTGATACATGTTTTGTACCAAATTCCCTAGATTATTGCATAAGGACTGAAACATCTTGCAGGCAGTCAAAAAAAGCATGCGTAAAGTTATCCACAACTGGCTGCAAGTGAAGTATCAGCTACATCAGACTTAATTGGCCCTTCACGTTGCATGTTGAAAAGAAACCAAGCGGCAACGACGGAAATAACAAACACAAAATAAAAGCTTGTATACAAAGCAATATGAGGCAAAGCTACAAGAGATAAAAGAAAATAAACTTACAGCCATGGTAGATGCCTTCGGTTAATGTTCGGTGAGTCACCCTCAAAATTTCAGTATGCAAACACTGTATTGATGCTTGTGATACTTGGTCTTTATCTTCTGATCGAAGACTGAAGATAAAAAAATGAAGGAAACAAGTTAACGGGTGATTCTTCTCCTAGTTTAATTCTATAGTTTTAATTCTGCTTATAAACTATATAAAATATATATGATTTTCTTAAAGTATTATTTGTTACCATCAATTTGCAGTAGTATGTTATTTATTTTCTGTAACATCAGCAAAAGCGAAGGAAAAATACGTGGACATGCCTTCGTTTCTTATACTGCCTAACCTAAATATATTCCCTCAACCTTCTAACTCCCATGAGTGACCAAGGCTGAATTTCTCCTTACAATTTCGAAACAACATCAAGCAGACAAGTGATGAGAATAAAGAAAAACATCAATTGGAGAATTATCAGTTGATCCAATAACAAATTCTCCGAAATACTATCATAAGAATTGTATGGCAGTCAGTAAGGAGAATTACTAGTGGGATCTTGGGGAGTGGAAGGGTTAATATGGATTTTGACATTCGTTCCCTTTTTGTATGACTGCAAACGCTTTTAGCTCTCTTCTGCTTCTTGTTGGACCAAGCATATAAATAATCGGACGGGGGTTTAAAAATGCAATCACATATACACCGGTCTTGAGGATTTGTCCTTGGTTAATTATTCTTTATATCACATGAGACCGTGTTTAAATTTAGAGATGGGGTAAAATAATCAGATCAAACCACAATCGTTTCGTATATTTGTTTATATACGCTGGCAAATAAACTCTTCACTGATCCAACACTCATACCGTGTTAGGAGGAAAAGTTGCATCTCCAAATATAAAATGGGGCTTTCTATATAACTTTCAACAAGTCAAATTTACAGAGAATGGCCCAGTAATAAACAGAGTATAGCGTGACAGCAGTTTGTTTAATCATTAAGTCTACGCGGCTTTGATCATGTCTGTCTCAGTTTCGCGGAATTAAACCGGAAGAGGAAACAACGACATATTTGAGCCTAAAATCGAATTTTATCATTCAGATTTGTCACCAATACTTCATTACTTCTCTGAAAGCCAGGATCGTGATTAAACAAGAATCTAAAAGAACGTGAGTTTTGATAAAGAAGGAAAAGAAACTTTGTATTTCTCAATGTTTACTTATGCGAATGATCGAAGAATCGCGCGGTGTCGATTCGCTTTCTTCGCAAGAAGTTTTGTTTCTGGACTAAGCAGAGTTCGTCAAATGTAAGAGTAAACATGTTTAATAGGATGATGCAGTTTTACCGAATCTACCATAAATAGGCCAGAAGTAAAAACAGTTAACGTTGATGAAGACCAGTGATCAAATATACCTACGCATCATACCGCGATTAAAGTTTGAATATATTTACCCTCATTCAGCTGCACAAATGAGAACTCTTTCAAGACGTCTGGCGTTACTTTTGTTAGCGTGAAGTTAGACTATGGCATTCCCAAAGTCATCGTAATGTCCGTAGTGTTAAGTAACTTGTTGCCAGAAGAACAATGGCCAGTTTATCCGAAAGACCGTCGGTAAATTGATCGACAGTTTTACAATCCGGGAATTTACATTTACGCTTGAGTTACGTTGTAACGTTACGTTGTTGTAATAAAGACGGCGATGCAGACGTCGAGAAAACAAACTTTTAACCTAATTTCCCGGAAATGAAAGTTTAAATAAGTCATTCTTTACACGCCTTAGGATTGTTTCCCACTATAAAGTAAGTGTTAGTACCGTTTTAAACGAAAAGAAAATGAGACTATTGGTGAAAAAGTTGTAATTACGGAAACTAAAGTTATAACTACGGATCCAACGATGCATTGTTTATGTTGTTATGCTTACATCGTGCGCTTACTCATGTAAACTGATTGATAAATAGGATATGATGTAATAATTTAGTTTTAGACAGTTACGCATGATTTAATCAGTCGAGCTCGGATCAACTTGATGTTGTTCGCAGTCGGCAAGCTGTTAATAAAGGTTTATTACAGACTACCAGTTACTACTACACCAACGGATTTGTGTTCCAATCCCATCATATTTCGTTGCGTTTTCCGAGAAGACCAGGTGAGAAGTATTTCGTTCTAAAAAAAAAAAAATATCTGGTGCATGTAACCACTAGAGTAGAATTTTAGTTGATTTTAGAACAATGGCAAATTTCTGGGAAAGCTAGGGCGAATTGTCGATGACATCAAGACTTCAAGAGTGAGAGTCAGCTATTACAACTTTTAAGAGATGCTTTGATAATTCTTAACCAAGAGGATTCACTATACTGATTAAAAGGAACAAATCTGTGCTGATTTAATGACAAAGGCGGCCCTCGGGAAGGGGTATTGACTAAAAATATTACAAGCTTTCAAGGCGATTATCACGTTACCAGTGATAGCTACCTAATTTTTCCTTTGGAATGAGTTCGCGCTCCGGCTCATTATCACGTTACCAGTGATAGCTACGTAATTTTTCCTTTGGAATGAGTTCGCGCTCCGGCTCTTCTTTGGAGTTTTACAAAAAAAAGAGGGGTCAACCGAGAGAAATTATGCTGCAGTAAAGCAGTGTGTTTCTAAACAGAACAGGCATTTTTAAGGCTTGTAGACAGTGTAAGATTGCCTCCTCCAAGTCAAGCTATGCCAATCTCAAGCCGACCGAGAAAACTCAAATAGTCGCAGAAATGGCCTAAGAAAATTGTTTTAATGTGGAAACTGCACAAATTTATAAATCTTAAGCTTGGACATCGATATCTTACTTATTGCTCTATTACATATGAATCTATAGAGAAATTAGTTAAAGTCTTTGGTACTGTACCGAGAGCATGCTATTGACTCTTCTAGCTACTCTTCTGAAACGACTCATTGGCGTTTCGTGCATGGTGATAACTTCGTGCTGGCATTTTCAGTCATCTTAGCTTTATTTAGATATAGTTTCCACATCTGACACTTTGCTTTGGTATCAATTTCTTTGAAATATGGGGTGTGGACGAAGTAACTCCACACCGTGGTCGAGCGGAAGAGGAAAATCAGTAAATCCAAACTGCTAAGGCAATCCAGGTATCAGCGGTAACTTAAGGTGATATATTCTGTTCAGCATAAATCGCCTCTAAAAAACCATATTTGCAGCTACTTCTACATTAATTTCCTATCACGTGAAGTCGTATATAGCTCTAATCATCATGTGTGCGAGTCTAGCTTAGGTTTTTTTTTGTCATTTTTGTCTTAACGAATTATTTTAAAAACAGCTGCAAAAACGAAAAACATTGCCAATCTGCGACTTATTCGTCAAGGTGAAATTTCTTAAAAGACTTCAATTACAATGAATCGAATATACCTTGAGAATCTTCTTTCCAATCACTTTTATAAGTATTTTCTTTCAATTTTTGCGGGTCGTGTTGTGATTTCTTACATTACTACGCAATTCTCCACTACTTTTCGAGCTCCAGTAGCTATCGCATCTTTCACTTTTATGGCAGCTCGTTTAATAAAGCCTGGTTTCTTGACTTCCTTTAGCTCCTCTTCAACGTCTTCCAACTTTTTTCCTATTTCTTCCACCATTTGCATTCGAGACTGAGCAGCCCTTCGGTACTCTTCTGTCAAAGCTTGGCGTTGTTGCTCAAGCTTTTCCTCCATCTCGCGACGTAGACTTTCCTTTTCTTCTCTGTGCCTTGCTTCCATCTGTTCAAACTTCTCCTTTTTTTCCATGGCAGCTTGAGTTCTTTCCATCCTCTCTTCCTCTCTTCTCTTCTCTTCCTCTTGCCTTTCAACCAACTTAGACAGCTTTTTTATCATCTTGATGTTTTCCTCGTTCATTTTCTGCATGTCAAGGAACTGGTTTCGGAGTTGCTGATTTTCTTGCAAAAACTGCTCTCTTTCCCTCTGTGCTTGTTGCATATTTGCGTCCATCATGTTTTTCATCTGATCTATCTGGACTCGAAGATCGTTATCCGTTTGCTCCCGGAATTTCTTTCTCTCCTCGTTTTGCCTTTCGCTTAACATTTCCATCTGTATAAAAATGCACGATAATTTCAACAACAGTGTACCAAAACGAAATGGTTAACATTTAATAATTATTCGTCGAAGGCAAAGTGAATTTTGTTGAAAAACCTCTGAGACGCAGCCAGTTTCCACTAGAATTCAACTGGTATATATATCCCATTTAGTCAGCAACACTTCATATCTTTCTTTTGGAAAGGGTTACTCCAAACTTAGCCGCATATTTTGTGCTTTTCATGATCATGATTGAATTTTTTCGATTGCACTTATCACTTCCTGGGTAAAGTTGACAAAACACGGGCAAGCCATTTGAAATTTAGCACCCTTGCGCGCAAGGTGATTATTGGGAGATATGACGCAATCCTCGAACAATCAGCACACGCGCATATCTATGATCACTGGAGCAACTATACTGAAACAAGTTAAACATGGCAATGTTATTGGAGTGTCAAAGTTTTTTTGCGAAAGGTTACGAGTTAGTTTTCTTACGCCAAACTCTCCCACTTCCTTCCGCAAGAAAATAGGGAGAATACACTCAGAAATAATCCAAAGGATTAAGCAACAAAGTGTTGATTCATGTGATGAACCAGAGAGAAAATTGATTATCGTACATTGTGTATCTTGCTTTTGACGCGACTACGTCAACAAAAAGAAATGTTACTTCAATTAATATCTATGTTTTGAACAGCAGTCTTTCTTACCTTTCTCTTAACTTGACGATTCTCTTGCAGCAAACGCTGTTGCTGTTCCTTCGATATTCGAAAGTGGTGAAAAAAATGAAATCAGTTTGATATTCCATGTTTTCAAATAATCATGCGAATTCGTTCTGTATAAATGGTAAATGATTGCGTCAGATCATGCGTTTAATCGAAATAGGCGTGCCCTGGTTGGTCAAATAATTTTAAAATTCTGGCTTCTTGATCCGTCAGTTATTACTCTGAGCACAAGGGAAGGAAAGAAGTTGCAGTTGCTCTGTTACTGATAGACTTCCTCCTCTAGAGTTATCTCGAATAAGCATTTCATAATTAGTCAAGCAATGTGGAAATCTGAAAATTTCAAAGCATGATAAGGGCATTACCTCAAGCTTTTGTTTTTCCTGCTCTTGAAAGGCTTTGGCAGCCAATTCTTCGGTCAGTCTTTCATCGTAGTCTTTCAGCTGTTGTAAGAGGCTCATGTATTGCTCTTGCTCTTTCATCAATGCCTCAAGAAAGACAACAAATAAGCACACATTTAAGAAAAAAACGATAAAAAAAGAAATCAAAGAATCTTAACTTCAAAAGTAGGATTCCTCTCTTTGGATACAGTAAGTCAAAATCAGGTGCAACCCACGTCGATTTTTTTCTTCACCAGCTTGTTAACCGTTAACATATAGATGAATAATGACCAATACTGCATGTATCAGTAGCATTTTTCTAGGAGTATGAACAAACTCAAAACTCCATGGAAAAGCCTGTGAAATTGACGCCTACTAAGCAATCACACGGGAACGATCCGCGAACTGTGCTTTTAAACTAACAATGAGAACTAAGAAGCGAACAATGTACTTTTAAACTAACTAATGAGAACCAGGAAGCGAGCACGGGGCTTTAAACTAACCAATGAGAGCCAGGAAGCAAACTCTGTGCTCTATAGCCAGGCTACCAAGAACCTACGTGTGTGACTTTAAAGAACAAACGATCCATAAGGATGAATGCATCTGTAGATAAGACTGAGTAAAGAGACTAACATCACTGAATATAGGAGAACTCAAGCCCTGAATTTACTTACTGGGTGAAACTCAAAAAACACCGCCTCAATTTCATCTTTTGCGCCGATTGCAGACTTGTGGTAGTCATCTTTAATCAGATTGTATTTTCCAATAATCTCATGAAAGGAAAGCTTGGCTCCCTCTTTTCTCTGTAGTTGCTGTATTACTGGGTCCAGATGCTGCTTTTTGAGCATTGCGAGCAGGTTGTTGCAGAATTCTCTGGTCATTTTTGCATTCTTCTCTTGCCATAAGTGAAACCTTTCACTCAACGATTCCTAAATCGAAAATAACAATACAGTAGAACAGGATATTAAACTGGGAAGTGAGAGGATTTCGTTTGACGCCTCCTTGAGCTTCTTCGACCTGTTTTACTAGGACAAAGCTTAAAGTAACGCAAACATGAGTTGGCAAGAATGTTAGCACTTCTCTCCTTCATAAAAAAACCGTTTCCTGTTTAAGAATAAGCTTAATGCATTGCTTGCTTTACTATTTTCTTTATCTTTTTGAGACATAGCTTTCCCTAAACTTTGAGTGGATTAATCTCCACTTCTTGGTACCGTGAGCCATATCTGCAGTGTGGATACGAGTTAGATGGACTCTAAACGTTAATAGCAAAAAGTTTCTTTTTCATCTTTTTTTTCGCAAGTTGATTTTACAAGATGTCAGTCTGGTTTATAAATTGCACAAGCAATAATTAAGAAATACTCTCAGACGTATCTTCATCAAGGATCGTGCAACCCGAATAAAGGCCTAACCTTCAAATTTTTCAGAAACGTCTCGATCGTGTTTGTAGATATTCCTGCCGTGTCCGCCATGAAATGGGCTTCACTGTTCTCCAGTGCCATTCCATGACCATTTCGCAGTCGATCATTATCACACGGTAACTTATCCTTTAGTTGTAATGACATGGTGGTGTCATAAGCATTAAGTACATCTTTCATTGCGTCAGAACATTTCACCTCCACAAACTGATCCCAGGCGTTCTGAACATTCGGGACCATACCAGGCGTGTTGATGGCTTGGACGTAGAGCTGTACCAGTACTGCAAGGCCTGATTAAATAAGAACTATAAATTTGTACTTGCGCTGATATAACACTAACAATAATTTGCGTCATGCTTTGTGAGTAAAGAGTAAAGCCATGGTCCACTATTAATTGAATGTGTTTCAAAGCCATGGACCATTCAAGCTTATTTTCAGTCCAGGGTGAGAATATGCCATCGTCATTGTTAGAGCTGGGCTGTTTCAGCACGAAGTCACGGTCTCCATTACCTTCTCCGGTTACAAGTTCTCCATCGTTAATGCTGTTTTTGGGGAGCAGAATTCGCCTCACCAAACTTCTGAAATCTTCCAACCCACTGATGAACAAAGGATTAATGAGACTTTTGTTTTCAGTGATACTTTTTAACGCCTCGGGGTCGACGGTGGGAGAAGGTAAAGTGAATGCTTCGAAACCGGGAAAGAAGCTTAAGATGCTTTCGGCTACTTTCTGACTTTCTTGACCAACAGCTAATGAATCCTGGACCTTAAATACCTTCCAAAACAAAATATACAGTTTTATTTGATAAAATAACAATAGATAAGGTAATCTAAGGAGGCAATATTTTGACAGTTGTGGAAGTTGTGCTTTCACTCATCAATTAATAGCCCTCCGAACTGCAGACTATATTCAATATTTCGTTCAGGAGTTATGCCCAAACTCACCTTTTTCAAGAAGTAGTCCTTAACATTGCTACAGTCTTCTGGAATTGCTTGTGTTACGTCCCTAAGTAGCCATATGAAGAAAGGAAAGGTCTTATGGAAATACTCTGAGTCCCGATGGCTTCTCTCGGTCTCATGCTTTGTTGTTGATCGCACCTCAATACGATGAGTTAGTTTCACAATGAAACTATATTTATTAAAGAAAATTGTCCAGATTGTACAAAAAATATTAATGGACCAATTTCAGTGTTTGTACTGAGTTTGGCCTGACTTCAGGATCCTGATCTTCGAGTTAATCAGTATTTATCGTTGCCCTTAGCCAAAACGGGTTATTCCCATTTGTTTCCAGACAAGCTTTACACTTTTCAGTTTCTAATGAACTCAACGTTGCTATTATCGGAAAAACTATCTTTCACTTTGAGGGAAAACCGACAGCTGTCTATTTTGTTATAAAATTATTTATTTTGTTTTAACAGATTCTTATATGTACAGTTCTGGTAGTCTTGAGTTCGAGTAGCCAATAACCATTTTGGATTCCCGCCTTAAAAATTCACCAAGTTGTCTTTATTCAAGCGGCTCTCTTCTTCACAAATAGTTGACTGACTTGTAATCTTAGATTGCAGTTTAAAAAAACTTTCATGGTTAAAATAAACATCTCGTTGTTGTTACTGCATTTGAAAGGATACTCCAGTCCCTCAAGATCACGCCTAGTTGGAACGCTTTGTGAATTGTAGATCAAAACTGAGGCTAACAAAACTGTTAAAGTGAAGATCTGGTTATCATCAAGTCCTTCTCCAGTTACTGCGTCAATTCCCTCAGAGTCCAGCAGCACTATTGTGATTTCCTGGCCTTTAGCATCTGTCGTGATATTGCGTTACACGGTCACGCCACTGGGCCGATGAACATCTTTATATTTAGAAGACTTAGCAGACAACGAATACACACGTGGCGGCAGTCGAGTTCGCACAATGAACAACCCTTTTGAGTTCACAGAATCGTGACATGGTGTCAGAAGTGGGATCTGTTCACCCCTAAAGATGACAGAAGCAGCTGAAGCATCCATAGTTGTGCCACCAGCGCCGACTCAAGTTTTTATTCCCCCGTCAAATTTGCCCCCGCCGAAAGCGCTTAATTTTGACGACAATTTAGCCACCGCATGGAAATCGTGGAAAGCAGCGTGGCAGCGCTACGAAATCGCTACTGGTGTATATAAACAAGAGGGCATAGTTCGTGTGTCGACATTACTAAGCATTATAGGCGAGGATGGCGTCAGAGCCCACGATACCTTTATTTGGAACGAAGACGAAAACGCAGACGACATTTCACAAGTCCTGAAGAAGTTCGACGAATTCTGCATTCCTAGGACACAGGTCATATATGAACGCTATAGGTTCAACAACCGAAACCAGGAACCAGGCGAAAACATCTCGACGTATCTTACGGAGCTTCGAACGATCGCAAAAACTGTGCACACGATACAATCACACCAGATGAAATTTTGCGTGACCGCCTCGTGCTAGGCATACGGGATGATCGCGTCCGCGAGAGACTTCTCCGTTTGAATGATTTATCTCTCCTACAAGCAGTTGACATTATTAAGTCGTCAGAACAGACCCAACAGCAAGTAAAGCTAATGGCTGGAGGAGACACTGCAGTTCATGCGTTACGGAAGGCGGGATCGGCAGAAAAACCTGAAGAAGAACGACAACTTAAGTCACAAGCATTTAGAAGACCGTCTAAAGAATGTGGAAATTGAGGAATGGTGCATGGACGTCATTGTCCCGCGTATGGAAGAACATGTTTTAACTGTGGGAGTATGAATCATTTTGCGAATAAATGTCGCGCTAATCCCCGAGGAGTGAAAAGTAGAGTTTCGGTGGTCCACGAAGCCGTCGACATGGGAAACGACCCCTACTACATTGGTGCTACTACTAGTAAGAGCAAAGGCCAGGAAAAATTGGCAGTGGTCAAACACCACATTTATGGGCCAGATCCCAAGACAGAAGTCCAGTTTCAAATAGATACTGGGTCGCAGTGCGACATTCTCCCGGCCCAATTATACAAGCAAATCACTGGGGACACCCTCCTTCATCGCCTCAAACCATGCCAAAAGGAAATAGTCTCGTACACAGGGGATCGCCGCAAAATTGCTGGTAAAGCTACCCTGCCTGTGTGGTCCCGTGGACAGCGGAGGTCAATGGAGTTTAACATCTTAGACGGAGACTATCAACCGATTTTATCATTGAACACCAGCCTCAATCTTGGCTTTGTGAGTTTGCATAATTGTGACGTCCTAGCATTACACGTCAAGTGTCCCAAAGCCTCCTTGCTCGAAGAGTATGAGGACGTATTCGACGGATTAGGGGCCCTACCGGGAACATACAAAATAGCCATAGACGAACAGGCGCAACCAGTTGTCCACGCACCGAGGCGAGTGCCAGTAGCCTTGCGTCCATGCATCAAAAACAAGCTGGACGAACTTGTTGATCGTAAAGTTATTATTCCAGTAACAGAACCGACGCAGTGGGTATCCAGCATGTTGGCCATAGTGAAGCCAAACAAAGTACGCATCTGTATTGACCCGAGAGATTTAAATCGTGCCATTCGGCGAGAGCATTACCAGTTGCCGACTATCGATGAAGTGGCCTCCCGCTTAACAGGTGCCAAGAAATTTACTCTTTGTGACGCCAAGGATGGTTTCCACCAAATCCTCTTAGACGATGCTTCTAGTTTCCTGACAACGTTCAATACGCCTTTTGGGCGTTATAGATGGGCCCGCATGCCTTTTGGTATCTCAAGTGCGCCTGAAGTTTGGCAGCGACGCATGCATGAATTCGTAGAAAATTTAGAAGGAGTTGAAGTTATCGCTGACGACTTCCTCATCGCTGGATTTGGCGAAACTGACGCAGAGGTCAACTCGAGCCTTGAAAAGAACGAACGTGCGTTCTTCAAGAAATGCCGGGAGTGGAACCTCAAGCTCAACAAACTCAAGCTAAAAAGATCTCAAACCGAAGTGCGTTTCATGGGCCACCTCTTGACTCCTGATGGTCTAAAGGCAGACCCAGCCAAAGTTGAAGCTATTTTGGATATGCCACCGCCGACTGATGTGAAAGGCCTGAAGAGGTTTTTGGGGATGGTCAATTATCTGGCCAAATTCTTGCCACTCCTGTCCGACATGACAGAACCCTTGCGAAGGCTTGAGGACAAGGACGTCGAGTGGTGTTGGCTTGCACAGCATGAGAAAGCATTTACCACAGTCAAAGAATACTTGGCCAAGGCCCCGGTACTGAAATACTATGATGTTACTGAAGAAGTGACAATCCAATGCGATGCCAGCATAACGGGTCTAGGTGCAGTACTGATGCAAAAGGGTCAGCCCGTTGCCTTTGCCTCGCGAGCTCTGACCGACACCGAAACGCGTTACGCTCAAATCGAGAAAGAGCTCCTCGCCATAGTGTGGTCAACCGACAAGTTCAATCAATACATACTGGGACGCGAAGTTGTACACATCGAGTCTGACCACGAACCACTAAGGGCAGTTTTACCAAGCCAATACACAACTCACCAAAGAGACTCCAGAGAATGCTGATGGCCCTTCAGAATTACTCCCTGGATGTGCAGTATAAAAAAGGGGAACTTATGTGGGTATCAGATGCACTGAGTCGAGCATACCGCAACACCACCGAAGCCTCCAAGCACGATACAAGTCTGATCTGTACACTTGCCGAGATAGATCATTCAGAAAACCTCTCGATTGCACCATACAGGCTCGCTGAATTCAGAAACGAGATTGCCAGGGACCCAGTGATGCAAAAGCTAATCGGAGCAATCAAGGGTGAATGGCCAGTGTCAAGGAAGTCCTGTACCCCTGAGCTGACGCCTTACTATGACAAACGAAGTGAGCTTATAGAAGACAAGGGACTAGTATTCCTGGGGGAGCGATTGCTGGTACCCCTTCCCTGAGAAAAGAAATGTTGAAGCAAATTCACCGATCACATATTGGAATCGAAGGGTGTTTACGTCGCGCTAGGGAGGTCCTCTATTGGCCCCTCATGAATTCGGAAGTAAAGGACTTTGTTTCCAAATGCTCAATCTGCCAGTCGTACCAGCCAGATCAGTGCCGCGAGGAATTGCAACCGTATCCGATCCCGTCGCGTCCCTGGTCGATGCTAGGTGCCGATTTTTTTGACCTTGGACAACAACATTTCTTTATCCTAGTCGACTACTGGAGTGGGTTCTTTGAAGTCCAGGAGGTTAAGGTGGCCACATCTGCTAGCGTGATAGCTGCGTGTAAAGTACAATTCGCCCGCCATGGGATACCAGACGTGCTTATTACCGACAACGGACCTCAGTTTACGTCATCGGTGTTCAGTGCATTCGTGAGAGAATGGCAGTTTGAACATAGAACTTCGAGCCCCCGTTACCCCCAGTCAAATGGCCGCGCCGAGAATGCCGTGAAGACCTGCAAGAACTTGATGACGAAAGCGAAAGCGGATGGGCAAGACCCGCTGTTAGCCCTTCTTGATTGGCGCAACACCCCAACAGAGGTCTAGGAACATCACCCGTACAGAGACTGATGGGACGCCGCACACGCACTTTCTTACCAACCCATGAAACGCTCCTGCGGCAGCCATCACACCAGGAAACAGCCACCAAATTAGCTGAGCGCAAGAAAAGACAAGCTCAACAATACAACAAAAAGTTTCGCCCTTTAGAGGCACTAAAGTGTGGACAGGCCATCAGGATGCGGCTTCCCGGAAGGGAGGAATGGAGTCTGGGGACCTGCATGAAAGCCTTGGGGAACAGGTCTTATGAAGTTGAAGTTTGCGGCAGGCGATACCGACGCAACCGTCGGCAACTGCGCCTGACCCCGGAAACAGCACCACCTATGAGTCTGGTAGAACTAACTCCGCCCGAGTCTACCCTCAAACCGGCGCCAAATCTGACAGAGCCAGGACCTCCTCCACCGGAGTTCCATGGCGAGACCAAAACAGAGAGAATGCCACCTGAAAATGAGATGGGAACTGAGCTTGAGCCACAAAGGATTGAAACTCGTCGATCAGAACGCAGACGTCGACCGCCTTTGTGGCATCAGGATTACCATATGAACTGAACACTGAATGATTGAGCCGCTAAATAGTTGTTGGGTTCTGTTTCTATCTTTTTATGATTTCAATGAAGAACAATGTTTTATCAATTTTATGTGATTTGAACAGTGATCGAAACCGAACATTAAGTATTAATTAACTTGTGAAGATAAACTTTGTAAAAAGGGGAAGATGTCGTGATATTGCGTTACACGGTCACGCCACTGGGCCGATGAACATCTTTATATTTAGAAGACTTAGCAGACAACGAATACACACGTGGCGGCAGTCGAGTTCGCACAATAAACAACCCTTTTGAGTTCACAGAATCGTGACAGCATCCTTATGAGAAATATGTCGATTACATCTTCATACCTTGCCAAATTATTATAAATAACAAAAGAAAATCAAAATAATGATCCGGCAAACCCTGAACTTGTCTGGCACTATCCATAACCAGATTCCCATGGTTTCCGGTTCCATGTGATGTCCAAGAGGGAAAACTTGTGGTTGATTGAAGGCTTCGCTGAGTACAAAGGACTTTCCTTTTCTGTATGGCCCGGCGATAGACACCACACATACTGGACCTAGATGATCGTTGATTGCAAGAATTACACAAAGGACTCGTCTGCTACAAAAAGCTAGGGTTCAAATACTTCGATTCCATAATTTTATGTGTTAACTCATTTATAGATCACAGATTCCAACAGGTGAGTGCATCCTTCTTTTCATTTCATTTTCTCTTCTCTTTTCATAGTTGGTGTGTACTATGAGCATAGGAAAAAAACTCAAAAATGAAAATTGACCTCGCAACGTTCGATTGTTTGAGCTATATCTATTTAATTCTTCCTCCTCAGGAATTATGAAATCTCCAGGTATTCCGTTTCATATTGTGACTTATCCATCTTTGGTGAATTGTTCGTGTAAAATTCAAGCGAGAAAGTTAAAAAGTTGCACCATTTTGGACATAATAAAGAAAACAATTTTTAATGACGTTAGTCACGCCGACCATCAGCCATAACGGGATTAGCATGCAAATATGTTGTAATTTTGATTAATAAGTTTACAGTTTACCTTTAATCCTCCGGAGGTTTTCAAGTGCTTCATCTACCACATACAGTGAGGTTCGCATTTCTCCTGTTTTGATGTACTGGCCTGAGCTCGAATCCCATTTACAGTTGTTTGGCAGGCAAAGTGGAGTTGCCCTTTTGGTTTCAGCTTGCGACTTGCGACCTGTTTTCCCTTTAAAGCCTAACATATTTGATAAGAAACTCTGCCACACTTATAAAAACAAATTCCCTTCTCTATCAAATGTAGGTTGTCAAAATTAGAAGATTAAAATTTACTTATTTGGTTCAATCAATGGAAAATGAAGTATAAGGCATTTAAGGTTACAATTTGGAAATAAACAGTGCGTAGGGTCATAGAAAGCATAAAAACCGACGTCAACGTACTCTTTAAATCTGGACCCAAAGCTTGAGTGGTTCGTTGAAATTCAGTCTGACGCGGCTCAACTGTTGGTTGTGTCTGTTGGCTGCCCTGTTGCTCCAGACGGGAAAGCTCAAGTGCCTTGACTAACGCCTCGTCCTCATTTTCGAACTGATATTGTTGTCTCCAAGACTATAATTAGGATATAAAGTAAATATTTTAACGGTTAGCTGACTGACTAAAAAGTTAAAGGAAAGAACGAAGCAACGAATGAACGAAGCAGCGAAGGAACGAAGCAGCGAAGGAACGAAGCAACAAAAGGAACGAAGCAGCGAAGCAACGAAGCAGCGAAGGAACGAAGCAACAAAAGGAACGAAGCAGCGAAGCAACGAAGCAACGAAGCAACGAAGCAACGAAGCAACGAAGCAACGAAGCAACGAAGCAACGAAGCAACGAAGCAACGAAGCAACGAAGCAACGAAGCAACGAAAAAACGTGTGTGACGCGACCTTCTCTCTACTTAGCGAGTAAGATATTTATCAACACGTTTGTAACGAGCGGTGGTCACGATTATAGTGCCAATGACATCGAGGTCACTAGTTATAGGTAATTGTACTACATGAGATAGTATTTCATTCCACCGCGTTAAGCGGGTGTCTGTGTGATACATTATGGGTAAGTAGTGTCATAATTTGAGTTCCCTTTGGTAAAAGTAAGCAGTGAATTTTCTGAGAGTTCAATTTGTTGTCTGAAAAAGTCGCAATAATAATTATACATGGAGAAAAAAAACACAATGAATCAAAACAAGTGAAATGTTGACAGTGCGTGCTTTAACTTTATTTTTTGGCATTCAACTGAATGTTCAAATTAAAACTTGACAAGGTCATCATCAAAAGACATTCAGCTGTATATTTGGAAACGTGTAATCTGTAATTTTCATTTGTGATACAAATTTGCACCCGTTTTGCATGAGAATGACAGTCTTTGTGGCCGATGAGAGCCGAAAAATTTTCTCCATCTACATCTATATAAACGTGTAATTTAATCAACAAAATCAAGTGAGAACTACTCAAAATGACTTACATCCATCGTTTCCTGCGTGCTTACTCTCCGAGAAACCACAAAACGTTGGTTTGGTAACTGCTGAGAAACCTCAGTCTTTCTAAATTCTAAAATTCAAAGAAGAAAAACAATAAAAATCTGTAAATACCGTAGTTATTCGGTTATAAGGCGCACTCGGCTATAAGACGCACCCCCAATTCGGCAACTTCATTATTGCATGTTTTCGAACTGAAATATCGCTAAAATACTTGGTTATAAGGCGCACCGTTGTTTGGGTAGTAAAGATCGGTCAAGTTTATTGTAAATTCTTTCATAAACTTACAAAAAAGCGAAAAAGTCGCGTATTGATTAAAGTTTACTGTTAATTAACAAAAGCAGAATTGTCGCACACGTGACCACGCGCACAAACAAAAGCCTTGATTAAACAAGAATTAACATACCGCAGAGAATGCAGGTCTCAGTGCACAAAAAAGGCTGGATAGATGAAGAAGGTATTTATCTCTTCGCTTGATTATTTTCGTTTTGTTTTGTGAAATCAAATTACTGAGCACGTGCTCTCGAGCACGTATCATATCTATGCAAATTTGACTTCGCTCGTCTTTTCAGAACCACCATATTTATAAAAGTCAATGACTAACACTGTGTATCCTTTTATGTGCTTGAAATCGTACCAGTAACTGTGATCAAAAAAAATTGTTTCGGGAAAATATTCGCCTATAAGACGCACTCAAACTTTTCCGGTAATTTTTTAGTAGGAATTAGGAATTTCTTGAAAAAAAAGGTGCGCCTTATAACCGAATAGCTACTACACCATTTCTCTGTTTTCTTATCGACACTTATAAAATAAGGTAACTTGAAACACTTTCTACGAAGAGATGACGACAAACTTTCAACGAGTGGCTTGAGGAAATAACTCGGAAGTATACAGAGAAGGAAGGGATCGCTTCTCTAAATTCGATATCTTTGAAATTATCATTAAACACTATCCAGTATTTTGCTGTTGGAATCGATATGTGTATTCAATCTTATTTAGAAACCAACAAACTGGCTTACTCTTAGTATCCTTTCATGTCTAGCAACGAAATTATGTTGCTGCTGTTACAAGTTGATTACGAAAAGGTCGATCAAGTTGCCTTCATCAATTCGATCCTCTTACATGGAGAGAGTATTACATAGTGAGAAATAGAGTCCCGTTTGAAAACCACCTTTTGATAATTCAACTCTGGGGCCAAAATTCCAAACCACTTGAAGACTCACACGAGCTGAAGGCAAGCTAATATGATCTCTGTCATCAAATCTCGACAAAACAAAGAATCAACTAATGAAAGCTGATCCAAAGAGTTAATTTTGTGCAAACGAAATTTTGAGAAAGGCATACATACCCTTACGTAGGTTTCATCGACATCGCTCAGCGATGGAGTATTCAAGTAATTCTGCTGCTCTATTTGCATGGAAGCCTCCACTAAGGTTCTTTGTGTTGTTAGTTTTGTTCATGACGTCACAGAACTTTGTTGCTAGGTCACCCAACTCTCAGTTAATTACGAAGCAGTACTCAAGGTTTTATTTGATGTTTTATAGGGCCAAAAAACCGCTCTACTGTTAGTATATGGTGATCCACAGACATAAGATCATTCGCCTTCGACTGCAGTTCTGACTGAAATCCAGTTAAATACAGGATCAAGATCGCGTTACAATTTTCGTTGATTCATCGCAACTATGCATGCGATTTATGTATGTGTCTGTTGAAATAACAGACGGAAAGCAAACGAGATACTAATTGCCAAAGGTCAGGTCGGTTAACAGTAATTTGTATAATTGCTCTACGCTGTTTTCGTCTCGCATTCTTCGACAGACGCGGGCTGCAAGAGCAAACCTTGAAAGGCTCGACTTAAGACTTCTGTTCGAACATAATGAGCCCCCAGTCACACTCGCGGATTCTCACGGCCGAAGATGGCGGCGGAAGAAACTGAAGCAAACAGAGATGTCATGGTGGAGCGAGATAAGCATCTTTTTCTCCTCTCTAAACATTTTTGTTTCCGGTTTTGACCGAACCCCCACTGAGAAAAAATGAAATGAATAAACAAACAGATAATTTGTAAGAGGCCTACTGAAAACAAAGAAATTTTAAAAACCATTTTTAATAACTTGCATCTGAACAACCCGGAACTGTATATATGGTAACAATTTGTCGTGACGACTCGAGAACTTTTTTAACAGCATCGAGGTCACGAAGCAAAGTTTCCACGAAGATAAGGCTGCATAATGTCAGTGAAACATCCTCGAAGGTATACTTTTAGAAAACTATCTTCCGTCATATAAATTTGTTTGAAGAGATCGCCGATTTTTCTTTTAAGTTCTGAATTGAGAATCCAAAGCCATCGTAGCTTCTCGCGTCCCATAACGCCATCCTAAATGTAATACAGCCTTTTTTCCTACCGTTGCTATCAAGTGGAGGCTGGTTCATCTATGTCATGGCCGCTGCTTCTCGTTTGCATCACAATAAGTCGGCGTTCATTTGGACTGTCCATTTCCGTCTGGGTTTTGATTGCCATCGATCCGTCATGCCGTCATTATTTTCGTGGATTGCAACCATTCTCTTTAAAAAAAGGTTTTGTAGGTTTTGGCTTCGTCGCTTGCTCCTATTACTACTGTTCCCCAAACTGTGCTCTATTCTTATCCCTTTTACTTGCTGTTTTTAGGCTGTTTACGGGCAACTTTCAAATTTGCTTCCTCGTCCGCCATCTGCTGCCATCTCTGCTGCCATTTTATATTAAAAAAATTTGTTTTATTTAAAAAATTATTTTAAAAAAATTGGAGTAATTAAAAATTGTTTTAAAAAATGAAAAAAGTAATTAAAAAATTCAAAAATTATAAAAGGAAATGTTCAAAAAATTGTTTAAAAAATGATTTTAGAAAATTTAAAAAATGATTTTTAAAAAATTATTAAAAAAATAATTAAAATAAAAAAATTAAAATTTTCTCTTACTAATCGTTCAATATCAAGCTAATCAGTACTTAGCAAAGTGAATATCTTTTATACAAGACAAATAAGAAAAGTGTTAATCCTTTGTCAATGATATGTAGATTGTTCTGGCGCACAAGTAACTAACCTTTGAACCATCAGGGTACAATTCAACGATTTCTCCATGAGAAGTTACGTTCCATGAAACATTTTTTTTTTAATTTCAGATTTGTTTATTTGCTAGACAATCCCGTTGCAAATATTGTAATTTCTTCATAATATCAAGATATCAAAAATTTTTTTAAAAATTATAAAAGAAATTGTTTAAAAAAGTTGTTTTTAAAAATCAATTTTTGAAAAAAGTAATTAAAAAAATAATTATTTTTTTTTAAATTGTTCAATATCAAATCAATCAGTACTTAGCAAAGTGAGTACCTTTTATCCAAGACATGTAAGGAGAGTTTGAATCCTTTGTCAGTGATATGTAGATTGTAATAGTGCACAAATAACTAACCTTAGAACCATCACACACTTCACACTTTTCTTTTATTTTTCTTCTTACATATTTACAAGATATTCCTTTGACCCGCCCATGGCAAGTGCAAATCGAGACCGGTCGATTTTTTTTTCTTTACTTGCTTAATTTAGTTACACTGGAAATAAAACGGAAATGAAGAAATATGACATAAAAGGAAAAAAACATACATTAGAAAAGAAAAAAGGAAAGTGACGGATGTATATTGTAAAAGGAGAAAAAGTCCTGGAGTTGCTGGGTGTACGAAAAATATTGTAGAACTGGTTCAATTTGATTCAATTTTGCTATGTTTGAATTTTAGCATTATCTTGTCAGGCTCCATAAAAGAATCTACAGGGAACAATTCAACAATTTCTACCGTGAGAGTTTACGTTCCATGAAACAGTTATTCGTTAGAAAATTCCTTTGCAAATATTGTAATTCTTTTTGATATCAAGATGTAATTTCCAAAGTCGCATCTGATAACAAGGCCTCCTTAATCAAAGTTATTTCTATGCTCTGCAGCGATGAACATGCAAATTCTCCTTGCGACTCAAATACATTATACAGTAACACAAGATGAGAATAAAGAAACACTTTCTCAGCTGGAAGGTTTCATCTCGATGTAACCCCAAATTCTTTCAACTTTTCTTGAATGAAATGTGTGCCTGACAGAAAGGAGAATAACCTACTAGATCTTAGGAGTGAAATGAGCCATAAGGAGATGATGCCACCCATCGAGTTTATTTCTGAACAGAGAGCCACAGCTGTACGTTCACGTTCATTTATTACTTCAAGTCGGGGTACAGAAGGACGAGAGTTCTTTCAAGAACAGTAAGTCGTACTGTTTTTCGTTTTTACATCTAGAATTTAGTAAATGGCACAACTACCTTTCTAGAGACATTTTAGCTTTTGTCTTTTACAATCGCAAGAGACGGGTGCAGCACAAGATTCTAAGGCAATTTAAGAAATTCGTTTGTTCCAATTTTCAAACTTGAATTCCACTTCTTGTTAAGACCTGTTAAGGATGTGGTTAACTTTGCCTCATGACTTCTTTACATTTGGTTATCTCATAAAGGTCATGAAATCAAAGGAATGATATTGAAAACGTTCGCAGCTTTAAGCATTGCGTTAAGTATATGAACTTAGAACGGATTGTAAAAAAGCACTCTTGTGAGCTTTTTCCTCATTTTGATTTTGGTTTCTGGTAACGGCGCCGTGCGTCCCCCAGCAAATGGGTAGGTACGTGATGAACCGATCAGAACGCGTATATTAATTGATAACTTTCCTGTTTTGTGCTTTCTTCAAAGATTTTGCCTGATAAACATTACATAATGGACAAGAAAATTTTGCTCATCGTCATTCTCATCAACTCTGGTAAGTAAACTTACATCTCTAAAAGAACTAAAAATTTAGTTGAATTTATTCAGCTTTTAATAGAGATGCCAGGACGATTGGGATGATTTCGTCACATTGTCTCTGTAATAATATCAGTTCCATTTTTGAAAAATAAGTCGAGAAAACCATTAGATGAATTTATATTTTGACACCACCGTTAAATTTTTTGCACATCAACGAATGCTCAAAAATTCCCTAGCTTGATGATTCTTTGGGCCTTTTGAAAAGGGAAGAGTGGAGCCAATTTTAACCTCTCTAAGAGCCAAAAATCTTTGTAGTCAAGAAATAGATAGATAAAGATAGCTAATGCATATGGTTGATCGACCTATAATACTCGCAATGGTAACAGGACTAAGTGGAGTCCAATTCTGTCTGCAATCATACGAGTAACTAACAAAATCTGTTATTGTGTGTTAGCTCGGCAAAATGTGAGACAGCAGCGCGCACGTGACGTGTCTGTCCACTTACATAGAATGACACTGTCCTATTAGTGCTCAAATCGGGCTTGTGTTAACCAATCGCGTTCGAGAATTTTGTTATAGTTTTGTTAAAAAAGAAATTGATAGATGCCCTTTGAATAGAGGCGTGATTTGTTATGAATTACTACCGTTATCACATCACTACCAAGCTCTAATAGATATCAGTACCGTGGTGAATCCGCTTTCACAATGTATGGAAGAACAACATGGACAATTCTATGTCCTAAATGAAGATTTATGTTGATGTTAGGAGGGAAAGAGGAATTTATAAAAGAAAGCGTCCATTAGCAGCCTAAATCCCTAGACATGGCTATTAGATTGTTTACAGAAAGTAAATATATTTTTTAATATTTTCTTCAGTCTCAGTGCAAGCCGCGGACATCTGTCATCTGCCACCAGAAAATGGTCCATGCAAGGCATATATGCCCCGCTACTATTTTGACCCGGCGGTTGGGGAGTGCAAAGAGTTCATTTATGGAGGGTGCCAAGGAAATGAAAACAACTTCATGACTAAAGAGGCTTGCGAGGCTATGTGCTCCTGAGTAATCAAGACGTACTGGTACCGGACATAAATTTAGGGGAGTAACAATTTTACCGCGGAAACATAGAAGATTTGAGTTTGACACTGACTTAATGTCGACTGTCAGGTCAAATTATCGTCAAACCCCAAAATTTCCTATATTAATGGCTTTTCCTAACCTTAGCATGACTCATTTCGGTCACCTAAGGCGAGAAATAAATTTGCTCGTACAAAGCTCAGCGTTTGCTTCTTCTAAAATAATATTCCGCTGATAACTTTACACTAAAGGTAAAGCGGGCTATTTTGGTCGGTCCTCGATATATTCTCATGAACATGGGCCAATGAAGGGTGTGCGACTTAAATGAATCTTACATTAGAAGGGGCTTTATAATCTTACGGAATAATTGTTTTCTTCATTTTTACAGGATACGGCTTTAGCTTAGTCTCAAGATACAACAGAGTATGACAACAAGACACAGCGTAAATCCTTTTCTTGTTGTCTCAAACATTTTGGGAATGATAAAGTGCTAGAAATAGGAGTTAGCCAATGAAAAAGAAATCAAAATGTAATCCTTATTGGGATTTTACTGACTC